ATTATGGGGCATTGTGAAGCCTAAGGCTTACACTGCTATTGCCGTCTGAGAAAACACTATTGCCAATACAAATCATGGTAGAAGCATGCACAAAAATATCCAAGAGGGGGTACTTCAGTGAGGAATTAGACTACCCATACTAACTTATTTAGTTGTGGAGATGGGTGAAGAGGATGTTGAAGTGTGCACTATAGACAACTCCCATCTAAACCCATCAATATAAATATTTCCTTCATTATCCATACATTTTAACAGAGCATCAGTGTCTCTGAATGGCCGATGAATGGCCCTCACAGCATGTAAACAGAAGGCTTAGCGCTGCAGCAGCTGCTTGCTGTGAGAGCTGTATGTCTGCTCTGATCCTTTAATGCAGTCCCAGTCTCAGTCTCTCCTGTACCCTCTGTAAGGTGCTTAGGAGGAGCAGGGAATGGGATCGGCCCTGAGAGAGGGTGACACCCCAGCAGCAGCAGCAGTAGTCCAGACCATAACACACTTCCCTCCATCTCCTCACTGACCACTCATGTTGAAGCTGATTAAGGGATGGGCTCTTGAATACTGCTGCTGAAGGAGTGGGGACCTGTCTCGAACAGGAACACCTGAGGGACTGTTCAACTTCTTTGTTTCATTTACTTAGCATATGTAGACTACTGTAATTGCTACAGTGTGTTTTCCCAACCTTGTCATTATCATACCAAAGCCTTGGCATGATTAGCGTTTCTCTTTCCTACTTCCTCTTCCTCTTGATGTTTTTACTTACACTAACTACTGGATCTTCTATATTCTCTCTGTCTCCCTCTCTCTTACGCTAACTACTGGATCTTCTATATTCTCTCTGTCTCTCTCTCTCTTACGCTAACTACTGGATCTTCTATATTCTCTCTGTCTCTCTCTCTCTTACGCTAACTACTGGATCTTCTATATTCTCTCTGTCTCCCTCTCTCTTACGCTAACTACTGGATCTTCTATATTCTCTCTGTCTCCCTCTCTCTTACGCTAACTACTGGATCTTCTATATTCTCTCTGTCTCCCTCTCTCTTACGCTAACTACTGGATCTTCTATATTCTCTCTGTCTCCCTCTCTCTTACGCTAACTACTGGATCTTCTATATTCTCTCTGTCTCCCTCTCTCTTACGCTAACTACTGGATCTTCTATATTCTCTCTGTCTCTCTCTCTCTTACGCTAACTACTGGATCTTCTATATTATCTCTGTCTCCCTCTCTCTTACGCTAACTACTGGATCTTCTATATTCTCTCTGTCTCTCTCTCTCTTAGGCTAACTACCGCTTCTTCTATATTCTCTCTGTCTCTCTCTCTATAAAACGAACTACTGGATCTTCTATATTTTCTCTGTCTCTCTCTCTCTTGATTACACTAACTACTGCATTTTCTATATTCTCTCTGTCTCTCTCTCTTGATTACACTAACTACTGCATCTTCTATATTATCTCTGTCTCTCTCTCTCTTACACTAACTACTGCATCTTCTATATTCTCTCTGCCTCTCTCTTGATTACACTAACTACTGCATCTTCTATATTCTCTTTGTCTCTCTCTCTCTGATACTAACTACTGCAACTTCTATATTCTCTTTGTCTCTCTCTCTCTGATACTAACTACTGCAACTTCTATATTCTCTCTGTCTCTCTCTTGATTACTCTATCATATCATTGCCATGTCATTTCCTTCGCAAGCCCTTTGTAATCCACAGGAGTAGCTCCTAACTTTACCCCACCGTGTTTGTGAGGGTGGTTTCTCAACAACAACCCCTCCAGTCCTCTGATGAAGGGAATGTTTCTTAATTGGGTTACATGGGTTTCTGGGGCAGGAATCCCATCCTGATGTTTGATGTTGTGTCCCTGTGGTGTTTATGGTGGGACTCTGGAAGAGGAAGGAAGAGAGAATAACATATTTGACTGCATAGAGTGGTCTATTACTAATCCATTTCACAGTGGTGGAAAAAGTACCCTTTTGTTATACTTCAGTAAAAGTAGAGATACCTTGATAGAAAATGACTCAAGTAAAAGTGAAAGTCACCCAGTAAAATACTACTTGATTAAAAGTATTTGGTTTTAAATATACTTAAGTATCAAAAGTAAATGTAATTGCTAAAATATACTTAAGTATCAAAAGTAAAAGTATAAATCAAATTCCGTATATTAAGTAAACTAGACTGCACATTTTCTTGTTTTGTATGTATTTACGGATAGCCAGGGGCACACTTTAACACTCAGACATCATTTACAAACGGAACATGTGTGTTTAGTGAGTCCGCCAGATTAGAGTCAGTAGGGATGACCAGGGGCGTTCTCTTGATAAGTGCGTGAATTGGAAAAAATGTCTGTCCTGCTAAGAATTCAAAATGTAACAAGTATTTTTGGGTGTCAGGGAAAATGTGTGGAGTAGAAAGTACATTATTTTCTTTAGGAATGTATTGGAGTAAAAGTAAAAGTAATCAAAAATATAAATAGTAAAGTAAAGACATATATATATATAAAAAATGACTTAAGTAGTACTTAAAAGTATTTTTACTTAAGTACTTTACTTTTTCCTTTTGTCTCATTTGAGCCCCATCTGTTGCAGACCTTTTTTTACTCATTTTACTCTCCATTTACATTTACATTTACATTTACGTCATTTAGCAGACGCTCTTATACAGAGCTCTCCACACAGTGTAACCTCTGATTTAACCTTTGAATGAATGTATTAAATACTATTTCATAAGTCCTTTGTCCAATAGGACTGATGTCAACACTCAGTCTATCATGTGTTCTACCCCTTTTTGTTCCCAGCCTCATGAGCAGCTGAGGAAATAGTGATCTTCATCATCAAATCCCAGTCTTTCTCTCATCGCCTTGGCAACCGCTGCAGCACTGAAATAATTCTAATGTGTCAGGTGGCAGCCATTTTGTGTTCACAGCAGGCGAGTCGGGACCACTTGTGTGCTGCAGCTCTGCACATCTGATTTAAGAAAATGGATGTATATTTTCTTAAAGGAATAGAATATTGAATACATATATATATTTTTTAGGATTATTGCTCATTTCATGTAGTAAAACTGTAATAAAAAATGTTGTTGAAATATGGTATTGATCCTTATTGATGTATTAAGATAGATGTGCTCTTCTTACTTCATCAGTTACATAAAGTGGAATAGTATGGAAAATGTATGAATAAGGGACTGATGCCTTGCATGAAAACAATGCTCTGTAATTAATGTTACCGCTCTACGAAAGACATAGGTGTATTGCATTGTTTTCCAAATAATATTTTACAATAATAATTATAATTATTATTATAAAACATTTTAAGACCGTATCTGTATCTAAATACTTATCACCAACCTGTGTTAAATAAGGGCTCTATTCAGTCCATATAACATAAATTCAGCGTTACAGCGTGATTGAAAAGCAATGTTCCCGCATTACCAGAGAAGGCATTCACGGTAAATGCTGTATATATCGGCTCAATAGGAAATTACCTTTAAATTATTGTCCAATCTGTAACGCTTCAGCGATGCAGATTGAATAGAGCCCTTAGTGTTAACACCATCCCATACTGTATCATTGGGGGTGTGGGTTCTGTTACGTCACTCCCAGTGACTCAGTGAGTGTGGGTCTGCCACTGCAGCAGTTCCTGTAGCTATATATAGACAGGCCAGTGTTATTGTGGGACCTACAGTGAGATGCCTGCATCCCCTGTGTACACTGATGTAAAATGCATTACACAATGGACGTGTATAGGATGTGTTGTAAAGGAGATTTTCATTTTCATAAAATGTGTCCTTCAGAGGTCCTTAATCTCACATCTTTATGACGGAATCAAACCACTTGATTAGATTAGGTTGCTGGCCAAATGCCCAAAACAAGGCCACTGTATTTGATATTAAATCAAGCAGCATATGATTGTATATATCAAGGCATTATGTATGTTCTCATACTTTAAAATCTGAGTTGTTGAAAGATGACATAAATCATTAGGATGTAATTCATTATAATGGCATTGTAAAGTTTCCACAGTTCCGGGTAACTCATTCCCCTGCAGGTCATGGCTCTGTCCTCTGAAGGCAATATAACTGTAAACGGCTTTGAGTTTATGATCTACTTCCTAAATCTCTATGGAGCCCTATTCTGTTTCACGTCTCTCTGACGTCTTTCTGCCTTCACATTCCCCAGTTGATTAAATGTGGGCTGAAAAATGGGTCAGATCTGATTCAGAGCTCTATGGATTTAAAGAGCCCACAGAACTGCTGATCTAGGTTGAAAGGAGATTTCCGAGCATAGAGGGGAAAATGGACTGGGATCGATCACACACATGTCGTTCTATGTTGTCAATATATGAGCTGCGGAGACACACTTATATTGATGGTCTTGCTACATGCTGAGTTGCCAAGGGACCTTATTAAGTATGTGTGAGGTTTAGAATGCTAGGGGACGTGTGTAAAGTTTAGCATGTTATAAAAGGGGAAAACTAGGTGTGTGTGAGGTTTAGAATGTTATAAAGGGGGAAAGACTAAGCATGTGTGAGGTTTAGAATGTTATAAAGGGGGAAAGACTAGGCATGTGTGAGGTTTAGAATGTTATAAAGGGGGAAAGACTAGGCATGTGTGAGGTTTAGAATGTTATAAAGGGGGAAAGACTAAGCATGTGTGAGGTTTAGAATGTTATAAAGGGGAAAGACTAAGCATGTGTGAGGTTTAGAATGTTATAAAGGGGGAAAGACTAGGCATGTGTGAGGTTTAGAATGTTATAAAGGGGGAAAGACTAAGCATGTGTGAGGTTTAGAATGTTATAAAGGGGAAAAGACTAGGCATGTGTGAGGTTTAGAATGTTATAAAGGGGGAAAGACTAGGCATGTGTGAGGTTTAGAATGTTATAAAGGGGAAAAGACTAGGCATGTGTGAGGGTAGGTATTGGATTAGGGTCCCGCTCCACTCCACCGTCTGTGGCTAAACTGTGCTGAACAAAGAGTGGATTACTTCTAGCAGAGCCATGGCACCAGTTCAGTCCAACAGACAGGCTCCAATACGGACGCTGCCATTAGCTATTATAATCCCCTGCCTCCTGCCAGCTAACAGAACATCATTCATCAGTAAAATACTGCCAATACTAAAGAGAAGACATGATTTTAGAATACATTTTTATTTGGAAATGTCAGTGTTCAAAGAGTAAACAAAAAACAAACAAATAAACAGCAATATAAATATTAGCGTATAAAATAAGAGTGTAACAGGGAGAAGCGCTAAGCAATTTAATACGAAAGATAATACAATAGAATATAGAGGATTATTCCAGCAGAAGATGCATATATATTTATATTCATATGAGCAAGGGTGGCATTCCAGTAGCATAACAATTGATTAAAGTCACAAACACAGGAAGAGGTACAGGGAAATGGAATCACACTTTAAAGACATTTAAGTGTTGTGTGTTATGCTTTAAAGTTTGGAGTGACCAAAGAAAGAATGCGATAGAGAGAAAACACAAAAATATGCACAACAAATTTCACAAGCCTCTAGCTACGACTGTCTTTTAAAGTTTTAGTTTTATTTACAGCTTGGTTAAGTCAGCGAGCTCAACTCTTAGTCACTACACTACTACATTTAATCTGAAACACTTATTTCTTTCATTTTTTAAATCAGATTTTTTTTAGTTGAAAAATATTCGAAACATTCCAGTACTAGCCAGCTGTGTGGTTGTTGTGAGAGAGTGATGTGTCTCTCTAAGATTCATACAGACTAGCTATGTGTCTTATTTACATGGGGGCAGAGTGTCTGTGCATCTGGGGGGATGGCAGGTTAAAGGATGGGCTGAAAACATTATCTGTGCCCCAGACTGCTGCTAGGAGGGGGAGCGGGAGGTGGTCTCTGTCCATGGTCCTGATATGGCCCTGAATGCCGCTACAAGGCTTCTCCAGAGGCTTCTGTAAACTGTCCTTACAGAACATCCAGTGCATGGAGTTGTAGTGTACTGAACATGTGGTCTGGTCAAGGTTCTCCTTAGAGAACTGAGGAATTAAGACTGAGAACTGAAGACGTGATGAGAGCACATTTACAGGCTGTCAAAGCCGGAGAGATACTGTACATGTGGCAAGAGGACAAAGACTGGCAACCCTATCCCCTCCCTCTGCCCTTACCACACACCCAACCCTGGGGACGTGGTCACAGGACTCTGTCTATGAGCCTTAGAGAAGTCCACAGTGCAGAGCCAATCACACAGGGCCAGCCCGGCATAATGCTGATACAACGTTACAACAACGCTGACACAATATCTAAATAATGCTGGTTCTAAGTTAATAAAACACTGATCGATCTTTACAATGTTACATTATATGAACAAAGTTAAGCTTTAATGCCACTCTACAGGATTCTACCAATAATGATGGAAAAAGGTTACAATCGTGGCTCAAATGATCTAAATAACCACAGAATCCTGCTTGGGCAAGATTTTAAAAAGCAGCTGGATATACTTTGATGGTCACCATTGTAAGTAACATTAAATCAGCATCTGTTATTTTGCTTACTAGTCAAATAACTAAATCGAACCTTAGAGGCATTTTAAAATGTTAACGCTACAGTATGCATTCTCATGACATTGGTACTTTTGTGATGAAATTGAGCTAGTCTCTTTCTTCAAATGTATGTTAGTGTAATCTTCTGTGGTTCTTCATCTTAAGGATGAATCATGCGTCTTGTCTATTTCATCCCTTAAAAGAGCTAAAACAAGTTCTCTAAAGAAGCCTAACAAAAAGGTGTACTTGTAATTTGTGTCACCATAAGAAGCAACTACTTGTCATTTTCGAGAAACATCAAATGGTTTAATAAAACAAACCATTAGATTGTTTTTATTTTTTTGATTTTCTTTAGAATGCTATAATACAGAGCTAGGTCACTACATGAATTCCAGGTCCCTGAAATCCATCTGGATCCAATACACATCTAATGTAGTCTTCCTCTCCCTCCCACCCCACATACAACACACCAATAACCTCTGCCTGAAGTAAGCTGTGATGACCATAGAAGCAAGAAGTACAGTGAATGCCCATAACAAACATTTGCAAAGTGACATATGCTCACTAACATCCAAAATGCTGGGACTATCAGATTGAATGGTTTAAGAAAAACAAAGATCAAGGCTTCCAATGAGAGAGGATACTCGGTAGTATGGGGGGGCAGGGTCTTGGTTTCTGTGGCGATGGGGCTTGGTGTTAGCTTGGCTTACTTCTTGTCCTTCTTGGTGGACTTCTTCTTGCTGGCGGGGGTCTGGGCAGCGTTGGGGATGTCCACCTGGGGTATGGCCTGAGGTGGGCCCTGCAAGGCCTGCTGGGGCATCATCTGCTGGGGGTTGGCCGTCAGGGTGGCCGTGCTGCCGGGGATGTAGACGTTCTGGCGGTAATCGGGCACATGCTGCATGGGGAACTGGGCATTGTAGCGAGGGCCAAGGGTTGCTGTCGCGTCACTCACCTCTGAGAGAAAGAAGGGAGGGAGGTAGAGAGGGTTATAGCTGGGTGTGTTGTGATGCTGTGAACAGAGAGGAACTCTACTAACTGAGGGTCTTTCCTGCACTGCATTGCAGCTCCAGCTCAGCACTGTTCTGAGCCACCCCCTCCCCTCCCCCACACTCACAGCATATTGAACCTCCGCTCTCTCACACAGAACAGATGTAAACAACTACACGCAGCATATTCAGATTTCATGAAATATAATTTGTAATTGAGGATTAGACTGACTGATTGCACACTAATAGAGAGAGAGGCAGCGTGCAGGTTTCTGGGTGACTGCAGCTATGGAGCATTGAAACAAAGAGCTCTGTGTCCCATAGTCCTCATGCATTGGTTCATTCATACACAGGGACTGTTGAGACACACTGGGGTCTATACATGTGTACTTGGCAGCCACTCTCTCTCTCTGTGTATCCTAATGGAGGCACACAGAGGAAGGATGTGTTGTTTCCTTATCAACTGCCACTCTGATCGAATCAAGCCGTATGAACTAAGAATCTAGTGAATGAGATGCTGCTCTCCAACAGGGCTCTCTCTGTAGCTGTACCAAGTGGCAGAGAGCTCTCCATCTCCCCGTCTGTATGCAGTATCAGTCCTCAACAGAGAACAGAGATACTTCAGTGTCACCAGCCCTCCCTGTTAGAATGCATGAACAGATGCTCTCTCTCTCTCTCTTTCTCTCTCTCCCCATCCCTCCCTCCCTCCCTCCCTCCCTCCCATACAGCTATCGATGGAGGTAACCTTGTGAGGTAGCTGAAGACAGAGAGAAGGAAAGGGGATTTTGGGGAGATGTAGGCCGCAGACTCACCGTTGGCAGCAGCCATCAGAGCCTGGAGCTGTTCAGCCTCAGTGGGGGGGTTGGGCCAGGGTCCTGTTCCCACTACGGCACCACCTGCCCCCTCAGGATGGGGGCCGGCTCTGGTGGAGAGGAAGGGGAGGAGTTAGTATAAGAGATACACTCAAAACTCTCTCTTCCACTGTGACTCTCTCTCTCTCATGAACACATACACTCTCACATAATCTAAACCTCTCTCTCTCTCACAAACACACACACACGAGGACACTCTCCTCCCATCATGATTGTCAGCATGGCGACACCAAGCCTCCAGAAGCCATTTTGAGTGAGCACCTGCATCAAAGAGCACAGAGAAGATGGAGGCTGGGAGAAGACATTTGATCAGTAAGCGCTATACATGTTAATCGGTAGCACAGACCCATAATACGCAAGCAGACACAGAGTAGAGACTAACTGAGCTGTTCGGGTGCTGTTCGCATACTATGTGCCTTGTACCCATGCTATGTGCCTTGTATCCATGCTATGTGTTATGATGTTTTCATAGTGTGGTGGGAACCAGGTTGAATTTAGTAGAAAGTGACTTGGCGCCTCTCAGTCTGGGGGGCCATGGATTCCATTCTGTCAAGGGAGATTACTGATGTATATCTTAGAATGATCAATGGATATGATATACTGACTTGGGGGTATAAGGGAATAACATCAGACAAGGGAGTGCCCACCGATGGTTACCAGATGTGGTTGAAGAAATGTGTAACAGAGGGAATATAAATGATATGGTTTCTTTGTTCAGTAGTTCGGAATGGCAAGAGGCAAAGCACTGTCCTTTTGTTATAACGAACCATGGTACCTATTCAATATTTATATGAACTCCCCAGCTAAGTGTTAAATATCTTCTTGCATCATGAATTACTTGATACCATAGAAACTCATCATAACACTATGTGTTACAGTGTGGGTGGGAAAGTGAGACAGAGAGAGAGAGAAAAAAGAGGGGGATGGGAGAGAGGAGAGAATGTATGTATTTCTCATCAATAAGAAACTGGATTAAGTTGATCGGATACTATCATTGTCCTTCTCAATCCCTTAATTTGCCACTGATCAAATCTACAATGTAGGATTGGAGAGAAAATGTTTAATTTAGTTTGTTGGGTTTATTAAAGCCATAGGGGAGTCAGTAACACACACACACACACACACACACGCACATGCACGCAAGCTTACACACATACACTCACACACAGATAGACAGAAACAGACCAACAGAACCACAGGAACATGGAAATCTACGCTACGAATAAAAGGACAAACTAGACAGTTCAGCGAAGCCCACAAACCCAAGTATAAAACACAGACTACGGAACGATGCTGAGCTTTGCACATCTACAAACACCTCTACAAAGCCTCTACCCAATTCAAATACACAGCTAGACCGCAAGAGCATGTACAGATTACCACACGCTCAACAGCCAGAAGCCAAGCTTGACTACACACAGCTCCACCAAGCCTACAGCCTGTCAAACAGCAGCACATTCAGCAAAGCCACTCTACTCTACCTCGCCTTGCCGTACGGTGTCCATCTCTGCTGGGTGCTGGTGCTGTACCTGTACGTGCTGAAACACAGACGATCACCTCTCATTCTTTCAGTCCAATGGCAGTCAGATGGACTCCTTCATTAGCCAACCAGGTTCATGTTCAGTTTCTATCTATTTAACTACACTACATGACCAAAAGTATGTGGAAACCTGCTCGTCGAACATCTTATTCCAAATCATGGGCATTATTATGGAGTTGGTCCCCCCTTTGCTGCTATAACAGCCCCCACTCTTCTGGGAAGGCTTTCCACTAGATGTTGGAACATTGCTGCGGGGACGTGCTTCCATTCAGTCACAAGAGCATTAGTGAGGTCGGGCACCGATGTTGGGCGATTAGGCCTGGCTCGCAGTCGGCGTTCCAATTCATCCCAAAGGTGTTCGATGGGGTTGAGGTCAGGGCTCTGTGCAGGCCAGTCAAGTTCTTCTACACCGATCTCGACAAACTATTTATGTATGGACCTCGCTTTGTGCAGGGGGGCATTGTCATGCTGAAACAGGAAAAGGCCTTCCCCAAACTGTTGCCACAAAGTTGGAAGCACAGAATCGTCTAGAATGTCATTATATGATGTAGCGTTAAGATTTCCCTTCACTGGAACTAAGGGGCCTAGCCCAAACCATGAAAAACAGCCCCAGACCATTATTCCACCTCCACCAAACTCTACAGTTGGGATTATGCATTGGGGCAGGTAGTGTTCTCCTGGCATCCGCCAAACCCAGTTTTGTCCTTCGGACTGCCAGATGGTGAAGTGTGATTCATCCCTCCAGAGAATGCGTTTCCACTGCTCCAGAGTCCAATGACGGCAAGCTTTACACCACTCCAGCCAACGCTTGGCATTGCGCATGGTGATCTTAGGCTTGTGTGCAGGTGCTCGGCCATGGAAACCCATTTCATGAAGCTCCCGACGAACAGTTATTGTGCTGACCTTGCTTCCAGAGTCAGTTTGGAACTCGGTAGTGAGTGTTTCAACCGAGGACAGACCATTTTTTATTCAGCACTCGGAGGTCCCGTTCTGTGAGATTGTGTGGCCTACCACTTCGCGGCTTAGTTGTTGTTGCTCCGAGACGTTTCCACTTCACAATAACAGCACTTACAGTTGACCGGGGCAGCTCTAGCAGGGCAGAGATTTGACAGACTGACTTCTTGGAAAGGTGGCATCCTATGACCGTGCCACGTTGAAAGTCACTGAGCTCTTTAGCCATTCTACTGCCAATGTTTGTCTATGGATATTGCATGGCTGTGTGCTCGATTTTATACACCTGTCAGTGACAGGTGTGGCTGATATAGCCGAATCCACTCATTTGAAGGGGTGTCCACATACTTTTGTATATATAGTGTACATAGTTTCTCACATTCTAATTTGTGCCAGCACAAAATTGAAATTGGACAATGACTTATTACAAGTCATTGTCTATATGTTAAGGAATCTACTATGACACTTTCTATGAATTATACAGTATGTAATCAGTGGCTAATAACGCCAAGACACTCAGATGCGCAACAGTTTCTCCACCAATGGAGCCACGGTCTGTTAACCAAGATGTGTGAGATAATCCAAGCATCTTTTACAAAAGCAATGAGGCAGCATATGTCACATCTACAACTACCATTGCAGTCTGAAAAGACAATGCTTTATTAAGGTTCTAGTGTGAAATACATTGCTAATCTAAGGTAGGCCTTATACTCACAAGACTACCACAACCAGAGGGTTGCCCATACCCCTGCTGTAGTGTACCTCTAACCACACTCACACAACATATCGATAAATCACTTCTACTAGTAGTACTCTACTAACACAACTACTGTATAACAGCCATCTTATTACCCATTATTCAGCCGGTCAGTAGTGCCAGTGTTATTGGATCTGTGCGTAGAGTAGTGGGGCACCAATGTGTACTGTCTGTTCAAACACACAACTGCCTTAGTCTTTAGAACTTTCAATGGAATGCATATCATAGGCACACATGATTAATTCACAGTAAGTAACATGCAAGTGTGAATGTGTATACGTATGAGGGACGTGTGTGTGTGTGTGTGTGTGTGTGTGTGTGTGTGTGTGTGTGTGTGTGTGTGTGTGTGTGTGTGTGTGTGTGTGTGTGTGTGTGTGTGTGTGTGCGTGTGTGTGTGCGTGTGTGTGTGTGTGTGTGCGTGTGTGTGTACTGTGTTTATTTAAAGAAGCTGAACACTTACCCACTGGGTCCAGGTCTTTGTCCCTGCTGGGTAAAGCGCCAGTCATTGTTGGGTGGTTTTTGCTGGAGGGAGAGAGGAGAGAAAAGATAATGCAGTGACAGATTCCACTGATGTCTATGGAGGCATGTCATCTTCAGTCATCAGCACTGGAAACCATTTTGCCCTTCAGTTGGCCAAGAAGAAAGAAAATGTTACAGGGCCATGGGGAGAGGAGAGTAAGATAGAGTGATAGAGAAAGCAGTGGGAGAGAATGTGTGTGAATTATTGAACAAGCTATTCTGTCAGTGATGTGCTTGAGCGAGTCCGCTGAGAGGAAGGATCATCAAACATACTCCTGTTACAGGCAACTTCAAAGCAAGCTTAATAATGCTAAAGCTTTAACTAGAGTTCTCCCAACATATTGACAAAAAAAGCGGACCACTCAAGCTTTATCTGCTGTAGATTAGGATATATTATATCTAATTCAACACCCTAGATCATTAGCCAAAGCCAGGCTCCATCCATGGGTTTAGTAGGGCTGTGCTACTGGCCAGTGCTGCCTGTCAGAGAGAGTCTGTCAGTGGGGCAGTAATCTGCAACCCTGCCCTGCCCCACTGATCCTCTAAACCCTGGGCTGGATTAAAAGGACAGAGCACTGCCCGGCCTGCAGCCTAGAGAAGCCCTTCGGCCAGCACTGTAATGCTCTCATACACTGGAATACTCTCTATGAAGGGTGACGTGCCATGCAACAGTTATTACTGTAGATTTATATGAAGCTTTAAGGAGTCATACAGTTCAGTACACAGAGATGATCAGCGATATGACAAATATACAGTATCAGTCAAAAGTTTGGACACACCTACTCATTCCAGGATTTTTCTTTATTTTTTTACTATTTTCTACATTGTAGAATAATAGTGAAGACATCAAAACTATGAAATAACACATATGGAATCATGTATTAACCAAAAAAGTGTTAAACAAATCAAAATATATTTTATGTTTGAGATTCTTCAAATGGCCACCCTTTGCCTTGATGACAGCTTTGCACACTCTTGGCATTCCCTCAACCAGCTTCACCTGGAATGCTTTTCCAACAGTCTTGAAGGAGTTCCCACATATGCTGAGCACTTGTTGGCTGCTTTTCCTTCACTCTGCGGTCCGACTCATCCCAAACCTTCTCAACTAGGTTGAGGTCGGGGGATTGTGGAGGTCAGGCCATCTGATGCAGCACTCCATCACTCTCCTTCTTGGTAAAATAGCCCTTACACAGCCAGGAGGTGTGTTGGGTCATTGTTCTGTTGAAAAACAAATGATTGTCCCACTAAGCCTAAACCAGATAGGCTGGCGTATCACTTCAGAATGCTGTGGTAGCCATGCTGGTTAAGTGTGCCTTGAATTCTAAATAAATCACAGACAGTGTCACCAGCAAAGCACCCCCACACCATAACACCTCCTCCTCCATGCTTTACGGTGGGAACTACACATGCGGAGATAATCCATACACCCACACCGCGTCTCACAAAGACAGCGTGGTTGGAACCAAAAATCTCCAATTTGTATTTCTTGGCCCAAGCAGGTCTCTTCTTCTTATTGGTGTCCTTTAGTAGTGGTTTCTTTGCAGCAATTCGACCATGAAGGCCTGATTCACACAATCCCCTCAGAACAGTTGATGTTGAGATGAGTCTGTTACTTGAACTCTGTGAAGCATTTATTTGGGCTGCAATTTCTGAGGCTGGTAACTCTAATGAACTTATCATCTGCAGCAGAGGTAACTCTGGGTTTTCCATTCCTGTGGCGGTCCTCATGAGAGCCCGTTTCATCATAGCGATTGATGTTTTTTGCGACTGCACTTTAAGAAACTCTTGCCATAATATCGACTTGGTCTTTTACCAAATAGGGCTATCTTCTGTATACCCCACCTACCTTGTCACAACACAAATGATTGACCCAAACACATTAAGAAGGAAATAAATTCCACAAATTAACTTTACTGTTAATTTAAATGCATTCCAGGTGACTACCTCGTGAAGCTGGTTGAGAGAATGCCAAGAGTGTGCAAAGCTGTCATCAAGGCAAAGGGTGGCTATTTAAAGAATCTCAAATAAAAAATATACTTTGATTTGTTTAACACTTTTTTGGTTACTACATGATTCCATATGTGTTATTTCATAGTGTTGATGTCTTCACTATTATTCTACAATGTAAAAAAATAGTAAAAATAAAGAAAAACCCTTGAATAAGTAGTGTCCAAACTTTTGACTGGTAGTGTAGGTCTGGTTAAAAGCAGGTCAACCATTCTGGCATCCTTTCAGTATACAGTAAAAGGCTATTCTCTCTATGAAGGTCTATTTCCATCTAAGTATGACTGAGCCTTGACTCAGAGTGTTGCCAACTAAAGGGATGAATCACAGTCAGACAGAGAGAGAGGGAGACACTGTTTGATGAGGTCATGAGAGGTGGCTACTGGCTGTGGGTTCAGGGCAACAACCCCTATCTATTAGCTTCACCTCATTCAATAAGTAGTCTAAGGTCAACAGCTGACCCTAATATCCTCATTATATGACCTGTACCGCCACATACCCCCACATCCTACTCATCATGTCCCCATCCCTGTCACTGTGGACAGGAACACATGTTGAGAGAGAACACTCTCACTGTAATAGCATGTCTACTACAGAGAGGTTTCCCCAGCAGTCATATAAAATATTCAGCCTCCTCCCAGGCAGACAAGGGGATTCACTGTGATTTAAGCACTTAATCAACCCCAAACAAAACAGTCTGTCGTTTCCTGAGAGTTCAACACAATTAAATCACTTTGTACTTTCCTGAGAGGTAACCACAAGTGCTTTACAATTAAACCTCCACACACATTCACTAACACAAATACACAGTCATGTTTAAGTCAGGTCTCTTCTGCCAACTTAAATTCATACAGTATTCATTTTGAGAGAACTCTCACCTTTTTGGCTTTGCTAGTGTGTTTGTTGGTGAGGGTTACACTCAGAGTGTTCTGGTTCATCTTGGGAGTCTTAACGAACACAAAGTCCCTGTCACTGCTGGAGAGGGTGGGGTAACATGGCCTGTAGGTGCGTGTGTATGGATCCTGAGGCCCCCCCACCACCTTCACGTAGCGCAACGGCCCATCTTTGTTGAGCTGCAGGTGGAGGTGTTCATGAGAGCGGGAGTGAAGGGCCTGCCTGGTGCCCAGGCCCAACCAAGTCAGGTATCCTCTGTATCTCATCCAGCGCATCACCATGGCAATGATTGCCACCAAACACACAACCGAGATGCAGGTCAGACAGCCAATCAGAGCCAGGGTGAGGCCAGACCCCCCACTCTGTTGCCTGGAGGGAGCCCTCCTGACCTGAGAGGACGTGTCTGCACCCTTCTCAGACACAGTGATATTGACTGGCACATTGGTGGAGAGAGCGGGCTTGCCATTGTCCTGCACCAGCACTATTATAGTGAACGTAGCATCTTCCTCCTCAAATCTACGGGCTGTTCTCAGTTCCCCGCTGTGGGCCCCTACATGGAAGAGCCCTGCATCCCTCCCAGAGAGGCTGTAGAAGAGCCAGGCGTTGTGCCCACTGTCTGGGTCCACACACACCACCCTGTTGACCAGGTGGCCTACGCTAGCAGAGCGGGGCACAGACAGCTGCAGCACACCGTCTGGGGGCGGAGCGGGGTAGATCAGGGCAGGAGAGTGGTCATTTTCATCAATCACAAACACATGCACAGTCACGTTGGAGCTCTGTACAGGTGTCCCCGCATCCCTAACCTGCACCTGCACCCAGAACACATTCATCTGCTCGTGGTCGAGGGCTCGCATGGCATACAGGTTCCCGTTGTCAGAGTTTATGTAGACAAAAGAGGACACAGGCGAGCCCTGCACCTCACTCTCCAGGATGGAGAAGGAGAGGTGAGCGTTCTGGCCCAGGTCCTGGTCGAATGCAGACACAGTCAGAATGAGAGCACCAGGAGTATTGTTCTCCGTTATATCAACAGAGTAGGAGAACTGGGAGAAGATGGGGGTGTTGTCATTTACATCTGAAAGAGCGATCACAAAGGACTGTTGTGCAGAGTGAGGGGGTGGGCCGGAGTCTGTGGCTGTCACGGTGATGGTGTATTCAGACACAGCCTCTCTGTCCAAAGGGCCGTCTGTCACCAGGGTGTAGTGCTCCTCAAAGGGGGATATCAACCTAAATGGCAGCTCAGGGGGGATGTGGACGTCAACCTCCCCGTTTTTACCAGCGTCCTTGTCCCTGATGCTTATCAGAGCTATAACAGTGCCTGATTCCACGTCCTCCTGGACCATTTTAGATAGTGAGTTTATGATGATCTTTGGGCTGTTGTCGTTCACGTCTATTATTTTGATTTTAATGTGGCAGGAGCACTCCATGGCAGGAGTCCCTCTATCCCTGGCTTGCACAGTGATGTCATAATTGTCAGCCATTTCATAATCCACCTCCCCTTTCACTCGGATTTCACCACTTTTGGGATCCACAATGAACAGTTTCTGCACTGTTTCTGAGGTGTACTTACTAAAGAGGTAAGATATCTTTCCATTAAGACCATAATCAGCATCAGATGCATTGAGTTTAGTCACTAAGGTGCCCTGTGGAGAGTTTTCTAATAAACTAACAGTTTTAATTGGTTGGTCAAATACCGGGGCATTGTCATTGACGTCTAGTATATCAATAACAACAGAGGTAGTCCCTGATTTCGGAGGCTGTCTGCCGTCTACAGTCGTAAGCAGCAGGTGAAACACTGCCTGCTTTTCCCTGTCCAACGGTTTGTCCAATAATAACTCGGGGAATTTGCTGCCATCACTTTTTGATTCAAGTTTCAATATGAAACAGTCGTTAGGACTGAGAGTGAATGTGCGTAATGAGTTTATGTCTACATGTAGATCTTGCGCGCTGTCCAAACGAAACCTAGTGCCCGGCGCGGCCGCCTCAGACACTTCAAGAGAAATGTTTCCTGATGGAAACTGAGGAGAATTGTCATTTACATCCACTATCTCCACAACAACACGGTGTAATTCCAGAGGGTTCTGAAGAACAAGTTGAACAGTAAGAGAACATGTCAAAGTTAATCCACAAATACTTTCTCTGTCCATGGTTTGTCTGACAACTAAAACTCCACTCGCATTCATGTCAAAATACTTGGCATTAGACTCCGAAACAACTCGTGGATTTCTGTTTACAAGCATTGGTACGTTGAGGCTCAAGGCCTTCGCTACGTCGCCGACAAAAGCCCCCGGTTTTAATTCCTCCAGTACGGAATAAGAAAGTTCAGCGGAAAATGATGCGCTGTATAAAGCAGAGAGAAACAGCCAGAGCACAGGCCTTCCCGCCGCCCTTCTCCTTACGTCCAAAACTCCCATTGTTCAACTCCTCATGTCAGGAAAATATCCTACTTTATCCTTGAACCACACATTTTTAAAAAGAAGGCTGCTAGAGGTTCAATAACTTTCAAATATCATATTGCAAAAATAAATAAGTGAGGAGAAGGTAACACCGACTCCCTTCACAAGCAAAGTTCCTATAGCTACTGAAAGGAAACTTTTTTCAGAGGAGGTGCCTGGGTCTCCAAACAAAGAGAGGCAGCTCTCCAATCGTAGGACAATACATGCGGGCCCTATTCGTTGTGCCACATCTGCTATACCCGCGCGTGCAGGCGAACGCACAAACGCACACACTCACAAGCACACAGAGTCACATGCACACACACTAACAATAAAAGACTGGTTCTGATTTTAAGAGTAACACATGTTTCTGTCGTAAAGGATGAAGAGGGCCAAATAAACAAGAAAATATTAGGGAGATAATGATGATACAATACAACTTTATCTTCCTTTTTCACTTGGTCTTCTGAGAAAAACATGCAAAAGCTTTGCTAAATCTGGTAAATCACTATTTGTGGCAGCAGGAGACGAGTCTTCACGGATAAAAACTAAAACAATGCATATATCATCATATAATTCCCACAAAAGTAACTGAGTTGTCATATGGCCGGTCAATTGAGTCATTCAATCAATATTTGAAACAATTGTAGGCCAATACCATCACAAACGCACACTTTTAGAATAACATGCTTGAAATTGACTTTGACTTATATGCATAATGTACCACATTCATTAGCTTATAAATAAACAACACAGCACTGTCCTCATTCCTATGATGCACATGAGGGTTGAGTGCTGACTGAATGTCAGTCACCATAGAGTTTGGTTCAGTCTATGCTCACCTGTTGGCTCTCGAACGTCCACGCACTATCAGGTAATGATGCATCAAGCACGTTGATCATCTCCTTAAAGTCAGTGGTGCTGCTGGGCTTAACGAGGGTGAAATCACTGAACTCTGACATTGGAGAGAGACACGACCTGAAGGACTGGCTTTGAGACAACATGTCCCCTCCCAGGACCTCCACATACTTGATAGGACCGTCAGTGTTGAGCTGAATCTGCAGGTTTCTGTTTGGATTCTTGTATCCGTCAGAGTCAGCCCGTCTGATACAGCAACTCGTGCTATTCCTACTGTTTCTAACGCACTTCACCACTAAAATGAGAAAAGTCAACAAAGACAACATGGACACTGAGGCCAGAGAAATTATCAAATAAAAGGTGATTTTACTGTTTTTCTTGCTGGGCTCTACTGTTTTCTGGCGGAAATCCAAGATGGGCTCGTGAAGCCCGTCCTCCAACAGAATGTTGACTGTGACTGTGGAGGATTGGGCCGGTTCCCCATTGTCCTTTATCTCTATAAGCAGCCTCTGAGAGGAGTCATCCTGCTCTGAAACAGCGCGTTTAGTCCTCACCTCCCCTGTGTAAAGATTCACACTGAACAGAGACGAGTCTGTGGCCTCCACCAGCCTATAGGACATCCAGGCGTTATGGCCCGAGTCTGCGTCCACTGCCGATATCTTAGTAGCGAGGTGGCCTGCTTTAGCGGACCGGGGAATATTCTGATGGGACACAGAGCCCATGACAGCAGAAGGGTAAATAACAGCGGGAGCATTGTCATTCTGGTCCAGGATAAAAACATGAACCGTGGCGTTGCTGCTCAGAGACGGAGAGCCGTGGTCCTTTGCCTGGACATGTATCTGAAATACCTTCAGTTTCTCATAGTCAAACGAGTGCATGCTGTAGATGCTGCCGTTATCTGAGTTTATGTAAATATAGGAGGAGACAGACACGTCTTGCACTTTAGAGTCTAATATAGAATAGGAGATCTTGGCATTATCTCCAAAATCCATATCCGATGCGGACGCGGAGCATATAATATAACCAGGTGTGTTATTCTCATTGACGTACACAGTGTACGCAGAGTCATGAAACCTGGGTGGATTGTCATTTACATCCAGAATACGGACTGGGATAGTTTTCTTGCTGGTGAGAGGAGGGGAGCCCGCATCAGTAGCCGTTATCTCTATGCTATACTCTGGGAACGTCTCACGGTCCAGAACACCATTGGTGACTAGTGCATAATGATTGGAAATGGAAGGTTCCAATGTAAAAGGATAGCTTGGTGGGATTTGTAGTGTTACCTTTCCATTGTCCCCAGAGTCAGGGTCCCGTGCACTAATCAAAGCCACTACAGTCCCGTTGGGTGCGTTCTCGCGCACTGGGCTTGGTTTAGATGTGAGGCTAATTTGGGGAGGGTTATCATTAACATCTATGACATCAATCTGGACGTTGCACTGTCCTTCCATCTCAGGCATGCCTTTGTCTTTAGCAATAATTTCGATTCTGTACGAGGGAGTGCTCTCGTAATCCAGCATACCCTTCAAACACATTTCCCCCGTTTTTGGATCAATGTCAAACAAAGCCTTTACATACTGTGCAGTATGGTCACCAAAAGAGTATTCGATCTCTCCATTTGGGCCATCGTCCAAATCGTTTGCCTCGACTTTAAGGAAAGACGTCCCCTGTGGAGTATTTTCGTTTAGAGATACTTTGTATAACGAATTTTCGAATATGGGGTTGTTATCGTTGTTATCTAAGACAATCATTATAATCTGTGAGGTCCCAGATCTAACTGGAGAGCCACCATCAAGGGCGGTTAACAACAGCTGATGTCGAGCCTTATTCTCTCGGTCCAGAGCTTTCTCCAGACGTAATTCAGGAACTTTTCTTCCGTCACCTTGATCCTTTATTTCCAAGCTGAAATGTTCGTTTTTGCTGAGAGTATAAGATTTTAAAGAATTATCGCCAACGTCAGGATCCTGCGCGCTCTCCAAAGAAAAGCGCATACCTGGGGCAGTGGATTCTGCAATTTTCAATGTGCGCTCAGATGATTGAAAATGAGGAGCATTATCATTTATATCCTGAATTTCAACTTCCACTCTGTGTAGCTTCAGAGGGTTCTCAATTATGACTTCTAACGGCAAGAGACATCTGGCGCTCTGTCCGCACAGACTTTCTCTGTCAATTCTATCGCTTACAACCAGCTCGCCCTTACCTAAATCCACACTGAAATACTGCTTACCAGCCACAGACGCTATCCTCATTTCACGAAAAGAAATCTCTGATACTTCCAAACCCAGATCTTTTGCTATATTTCCAACCACGGATCCCACGCTCAGTTCCTCTGGAACTGTATAACGAATCTCGGCTCCTGTTGTATTCCAAGACAAAAAAAAACACAACAGCCATTGCATTAGTGCTCTCCAATCACTGAGGCACGTCCTCTCCTCCAAGCTCAATTTCTTCATGTTGCTATATCCCGAAAAAATAACATGTGGAAAACATGCTTAAAATAAAATATTCCATGGAAACTGTTATTGATCACCTCTCGTTTTTAACCAAGTATCTACTTCCATTGTGAATGTATGGCTGAGCACAGCTCCGTCTCTCTCAGCTCTGTGCATTGTATGGGCTACTGTGCTGTGGCTGGAGGAGGGAGTAGATCTCTTTGTACAGTTAAGCATGCTATTGGTGCACAGCGCAGCACCATATAAACCAACTGAAAACAGAGTAGCTCTTAAAGTCGTAGCCAGCATTCTGCTATGGGTGAATGCGTTGTAAACTTGCTAGCACATCAGATCATATTTCATGAAGAAATTGAAATGTAATCATGAGGTAATGTAAAATGCCCACCTTCCCCATTGCACAAATGGTTTTGAAATAATGACAGTGATGATAAAAGTAATAGCCCTTTATCTGAGGTCAAAGTAAACCATTTGAAATTGGACTTAAAGTGTACATACAGTACCAGTCAAAAGTTTGGACACACCTACTCATTCAAGGGTTTTTCTTTATTTTTACTATTTTCTACATTGTATAATAATAGTGAAGACATCAACACTATGAAATAACACGTAGTAAACAAAAAAAGTGTTAAACAAATCAAAATATATTTTAGATTTTAGATTCTTCAAAGTAGCCACCCTTTGTCTTGATGACAGCTTTGCACACTCTTGGCAACTAGCTTCATGAGGTAGTCACCTGGAATGCATTTCAATTAACAGGTGTGCCTTGTTTAAAGTTAATTTGTGGAACTTGTTTCCTTCTTAATGGTAAAATAGTAAAAACTAAAGAAAAAGCCTTGAATGAGTAGGTGTGTCCGATCTTTTGACTGGTACTGTATGTCCAGTAGATGTGTGGGACATGCAGCAACAAAACAGAAAGCTGACGTTTTTGTGGCCTGTGGAGCGGGCGTGTCGCTGTCCATGGTGCTGAAATGTACAATCCTTCTCTGAGCGCATGGAAGTGAACAAAGAGAACAGTTCCTCATTTATGTCACAGATAGACTTGTATTTTTGTGTGTCATTTTATTTTATTATAAAACTTGCATTCATAAATAGCATAAAAATACGTAATTTACACGAACCTGTGAAATATTGAGGTTCTTTAAAACCCGGTGGGATTTTACATATCTGTTTTTGTAATGTATGTGCTGTCATGTCCTTATAAATCAGTGGGAGTCTCATCTTTCCATAGAGGGGTCATAATAGTTTGTAGGCCAAACCGTTCGGAAACTAAAGATGATTTTGTGAGAAGACGGATTTTCGGGATGCCTCATGGTCTGACTAACAACCCTCCAGCTCTGTCACCTTTCACCGCAGATGCGGAAGTGCGACATCAGCGGATGCGGTAGATTGAGACGCATCCAGTGCAAAAAAACAGATAAAGTATCTCTAGCTTAAAAAGCTGTCATAAAGAGTGAATGCAAAACATCCAAATTATATAGAATCGAATGAATAGAAGTGGTAAAACCCAGTGCCAGGAGATACAGTCAGAAATGAACAAAGACATAATCCGGTGATAATAAAAACACAAATTATAAGATCCTCTCACCTGCTGGCTCTCGAACGTCCACGCGCTGTCCGGTAAAGATGCATCAAGCACGTTTATAATGTCTTTAAAGTCAGTGGTGCTGCTGGGCTTAACGAGGGTGAAATCACTGAACTCTGACACCGGAGAGAGACACGACCTGAAGGACTGGCTCTGAGACAACATGTCCCCTCCCAGGACCTCCACATACTTAATAGGGCCGTCAGTATTGAGCTGGAGCTGCAGGTTTCTGTTGGGATTCTTGTATCCGTCAGAGTCAGCCCGTCTGATACAGCAACTCGAGCTATTCCTACTGTTTCTAACGCACTTCACCACTAAGATGAGAAAAGTCAACAAAGACAACACGGACACTGAGGCCAGAGAGATTATCAAATAGAAGGTGATTTTACTGTTTCTCTTACTGGGCTCGGCTGTTTTTTGGTGGAAGTCCGAGATGGGCTCGTGGAGCCCGTCCTCTAACAGTATGTTGACTGTGACTGTGGAGGATTGGGCCGGTTCCCCATTGTCCTTTATCTCTATAAGCAGCCTCTGAGAGGAGTCATCCTGCTCTGAAACAGCGCGTTTAGTTCTCACCTCCCCTGTGTAAAGATTCACACTGAACAGAGACGAGTCTGTGGCCTCCACCAGCCTATAGGAAATCCAGGCGTTATGGCCCGAGTCGGCGTCCACTGCCGATATCTTAGTGGTGAGGTGGCCTGCTTTAGCGGACCAGGGCATCTTCTGATGGGAGACAGAGCCCATGACAGCCGAAGGGTAAATAACAGCGGGGGCGTTGTCGTTCTGGTCCAGGATAAAAACATGAACCGTGGCGTTGCTGCTCAGAGACGGAGAGCCGTGGTCCTTTGCCTGCACCTGTATCTGAAATACCTTCAGTTTCTCATAGTCAAACGAGTGCATGCTGTAGATGCTTCCATTATCTGAGTTTATGTAAATATAGGAGGAGATTGACACGTATTGTACGTTCGACTCTAATATAGAATAGGAGATTTTAGCGTTTTCTCCTATATCTCGATCTGAAGCTGACACTGAACACATTATTGATCCAGCAGCATTATTCTCTCCGACGTAAACCGTGTAAGATAGTTGAGAGAAAACTGGAGGGTTGTCGTTAACATCTAATATATTAACTGTTATTATTTTATTCGAGGTCAAATGTGGAGACCCGGAATCCGATGCTTCAATCTCAATACGGTATTCAGGGTATTTCTCCCGATCTAAAGATGCACCTGTCACTAGTGCGTAATGATCTGCAAATGAGGGATTTAATTTGAAAGGGTAATCTGAAGACATACGAAGGGAGACCTTACCATTGTCCCCAGAGTCTAAATCATTTGCACTAATTAGAGCTACCATGGTACCTACTGGGGCATCCTCTCTCACGGGTTTGGGTGAGGAGGTGATGGTAATCTCAGGAGAGTTATCATTAACATCTACAATAGTTACCTGGACACCACTGTGTCCCTCCATAGATGGCGTGCCTTTGTCTCTAGCGCATACATCAAATTTATATGAAGAGCTTTTCTCGTAATCTAATGCGTGGGATAAAGTAATCTCTCCTGTGTCTTCATTGATTACAAATAGCTTTTGAATTGACTCTGCTGTATGCGATTCGAATGCATACTCTATTTTACTGTTTGTGCCTTCATCCAAGTCGTTGGCTCTAACTGTCAATACTAATGTCCCGGGTACTGCATTTTCACTCAGTTGGATTTCATACAAGTCTTGCTCAAAACAAGGCGAATTATCGTTTATGTCTAGCACCTTCACAGTAACATGCGTGGTTCCAGATCTTGCTGGAGTACCTCCATCAACCGCAGTAAGAATTAGGTTGTGCACCGGCTGCTGTTCACGGTCTACAGTCTTTTCCAGAACAAGCTCGGCAACTTTTGTGCCATCTTTATTGTTTTTAACGTTCAAAGAAAAGAAGTCATTTTTATTCAGAGAATATGAGCGCAAATAATTGATTCCGACGTCAAGGTCCTGTGCCATTTCCAAACGAAACCGAACACCAAGTAGAGTTGATTCGGGCACTTTTATAGTGTTCTCACCTGACATGAAAAGTGGAGAGTTGTCATTTATATCCAGTATTTCCACCTCAATACGATAAAACTGAAGTGGGTCCTCAATGATAACCTGTAGTGGTAACAAACAACTGGCGCTTTGTCCGCACAGACTCTCTCTGTCAATCCGTTCATTTACAATGAGCTCGCCCTTTCCCAAATCCACGGCGAAATATTGCTTACCAGCCCCGGGGGCTATTCTCAGTTTGCGATCAGAGATCTTAGAGATGTCAAAGCCCAAGTCCTTAGCTATATTTCCAACAACAGAGCCCACGTCCAGTTCCTCAGGAATGGTGTATCGAGTCTGCGCCTCTATTGTATTCCACAAGAGAAAGAACATCCATAATGCCAGCCATGGAAACATCTTTATCTTGACTAGCGTCCACATCTCCACAAATAGCGTGCAATATATAAAGCACTTGATCCGTCACACATCGCAAGAGAATGCAATGCAATTTCCAAATACACAGTAATTTCTTAAATGAACGGCTATATCCAATACATGTACATCGATGTGAGCCCAGCTATGTCTCTCCCAGCTCTGCTCATTGTAAGGGATATGGTGCTGTGGCTGGGGGAGGGAATAGATCTCTTTGTACAGTTCAGCACATGATTGGTTTACAGAGCTCCAATAGATTACTATTAGGAGCAGCTCTGAGTTAAAGTAACAGTGCAGCCAAAGATATAGGCTGAGGCAATGTTCCCCCTAAGCTACAAGCAGGCGCGCAGTAGCCCAAAGACCGCCGCGCAGCTCCCCGGGACAGCCGCGCAGAGCGCAGCAGAAATATCAGCCCATGGAGAGAAGCACAAGATTGAACATCACTCAACTTTCTAGAGTTTTCCCTGTTAGTTAATACTATCAACGTTTCCCTTTACTGTGGCAATTGTGATCGAGTCAACGCAATATTAACAACATACCGAAACAAAACGAACTATGCAAGAGATCTTGTTATAGGCAGAACACAAGACTCAGACGGTACTCTACACAGACTTGTGCAGCATAACCAATCAGAGCTGCAGTAGGCCTATATGCAAATAGACCATTGCCATATATGGATCTGTGCCATTTATTTTGAACTGAACTGTGTTTACAGCTGTGGTCATGAGTAGATGCGCTTGTTTTGAGATCAAAGCAAGAGCTGCATGTAGCCACGTGTGCACATTTTGTTAATATCCTTTGATAGTTAGTGAGTTATTAGCCCAGTTTTAGATAATTTGTAGTCTGCAATAGGGGAGTGATTTCTTCCTACAAGATTACAAAACGTGTGCATTTTGAGATATCTTTGAAAAGCGAGTCAGGTAAATAGTTCTTTTTTTGTCTTAAAGGGGCAGTGTTGTATTTTGAAAAAGGCTTGAATAAGCCAAGTAGCCAATAGACAGAGGGTAGTATACCTTTCTGATTCTCTGTAATAATGGTGTGGGAATAACAATTAATTTTATTGTGTAAAGTGGTTTCTTCCATCAAACTACACCATTTTCAGTCACCTCCTTGTCTGTAGACAAGTGGATAAACAGGTTAATGTCAAGCCCTGCATGTTTTTTTTCAAAAGTCTCATGGAATGTAGGCCTACATTGAACACCACACATTGGTTGCTACTGTAGGCTGAATGATTGAACAGCTATTGCCATGTTAATATATTATGGGATGCGTGTTCTCCATTGTTTTTGATGGTAGGCCCCTCTGGTAGGTCTACATTACGATCAAATAGCCACAGTAGCCTACTTGGCCACCGTTAAAACGGTAACTTAAAGCGGGTACAGCCTCAGTGTTCACAGTAAACACGCGCTGGAAGTTGCACAGATTTTTTACAACTTTTAAGTTTGCGCTCAGCAGACCTGAAATTTGCTCAGTGCCCCAAAAAATGAGAGGGGACATTGGCTGAGAGTTAATGTAATAGGCAGGCATAGAGATAAGATGAACTGGCTTGATTAGTTTGTATTTTAGTGCAGCATACAAATCATAGGATAATTACTTGAACTGAATGCCATAGTGTTTTGTATGTTATAAAACATGTAATTATCAATGGGATATGTGATAAAACTGGCTATGTGATCAAACTGTGATGAAACCAGCCAGGTCACCCGTGATACAAGTCAGTATTAGATGTCCATCCATGTCTGAGGACGTCGGGAGACGAAGTGGAAACCGGCCACTAGAGGCAACAGTGAGTGCTGTTACCTTCAAGTAGCATCTGCCTCTGGTGCAAAAGCACAATCTGCCTCTGGTGCAAAAGGTTGCATGTTCAAATCCAGCAATAGAAAGTTGTTTTTGAGATAAAAAAATTATAATAATGTCTGCACTCACTAACTGTAAGTCGCTCTGGATAAGAGCGTCTGCTAAATGACAAAAAAAAAAATGGTTTAAAGCCTATCCCAAACAGTAGCCCTTCGGAGTTAATGCCTAAACTTAACCCTAACCTTAAAAATGTGGAGTTAATGCCTAAACGTAACCTTAAACACTTTGAAATGTAACGTTTGGAACAACTTCGAAATTTGGCGTTGGAAAAACATGGATGAACATCTAATTCTGACGTGAGACTTTGAGAGCTTGTTGCAGCAGACTGGAAGATTGTAACACTGTAGGTTTAGGACAGTGTAGGCTATGCTACATTGTTTAGGCAATGTATGAGTTATCTTAGTGTATTTTCAACTATGGAGAAATAATACTTTCAAAAGAACACATGATAAATTATTGAGAAAATTAGGCTACACATAAATTGCATGTAGGCCTACAGCATATCGCTGAAAAAACACTGTTCTAAAATAGCACAAAAATCCTAAAGCAAATGTCTTCCAGTTCATATACAACATAAATAAGGTATGCCTTTGAGTCAGAATTAATGTGCAGGAAGAATGCATATGTTTGTTTTCACTTTCAGCACCACGGTAGTCACTAGTCCACAGCCACAAAGTCAGAAACCCCGCCTATTTATATACTTAACATGTGCTTTTAAACCAAACACAATTAATAACGACACTACTAACCTTATGCATAACTTTAAACTTAAATGAAGGCCAAAAATATAATTTTTGTTTTCATGAAGTTTTACAATAGCAGATAGTCATTTTGACTTTGTGGATGTAGTAACTAGTGAAAACCCACAGGAGTGGACAGCGCAAAACTGAACCAATGAGGTCAGACAGCGAAGCAAAAAAAGGATTAAAGACATGAAAAATTCAAATAAATGCAAGAAAACCTCACGTGAAAATAATAAATAAAAGTAAAATAACTGAAAGAAGAAAATACAAAAGAAGTTCCTGATGCTCTTAGTTTTCTTTTCATTGCAGATTTCAAGAAAAGTATTTACGTATCAAGCAACAATCTAGACAGTAAAAATGTGCCAATGAATACCAGTAGTTCGTTTTCACTTTCAGCACCACTGCAATGGACATCGCGAAAATTAAACATACTGTACACAGCCATATTATGCATTGTAAGGATGGGAACAATAACACGTTTATCTTCAATTTCAATGTCCAATGCAAACAATATGCTCACCTGCTGGCTCTCGAACGTCCACGCGCTATCAGGTAATGATGCATCAAGCACGTTGATCATCTCCTTAAAGTCAGTGGTGCTATTGGGCTTAACGAGGGTGAAATCACTGAACTCTGACACTGGAGAGAGACACGACCTGAAGGACTGGCTCTGAGACAACATGTCCCCTCCCAGGACCTCCACATACTTAATAGGGCCGTCAGTATTGAGCTGGAGCTGCAGGTTTCTGTTGGGATTCTTGTATCCGTCAGAATCAGCCCGTCTGATACAGCAACTCGAGCTATTCCTACTGTTTCTAACGCACTTCGCCACTAAAATGAGAAAAGTCAACAAAGACAACACAGACACTGAGGCCAGGGAGATGATCAAATAAAAGGTGATTTTACTGTTTCTCATGATGGGCTCCGCTGTTTTCTGGCGGAAATCCGAGATGGGTTCGTGGAGCCCGTCCTCTAACAGTATGTTGACTGTGACTGTGGTGGACTGGGCCGGTTCCCCATTGTCCTTTATCTCTATAAGCAGACTCTGAGATGAGTCATCCTGCTCTGAAACAGGGCGTTTAGTCCTCACCTCCCCTGTGTAAAGATTCACACTGAACAGAGACGAGTCTGTGGCCTCCGCTAGCCTATAGGAAATCCAGGCGTTATGGCCCGAGTCTGCGTCCACTGCCGATATCTTAGTTGTGAGGTGGCCTGCTTTAGCGGACCGGGGCATCTTCTGATGGGAGACAGAGCCCATGACAGCGGATGGGTAAATAACAGCGGGAGCATTGTCGTTCTGGTCCAGAATAAAAACATGAACTGTGGCGTTGCTGTTCAGAGACGGAGAGCCGTGGTCTTTTGCCTGTACCTGGATCTGAAACACCTTCAGTTTCTCATAGTCAAACGAATGCATGCTGTAGATGCTGCCGTTGTCTGAGTTTATGTAAATATAGGAGGAGACAGACACGTCTTGCACTTTAGAGTCTAATATAGAAAAATATATCTTGGCATTTTCTCCTATGTCTGGATCTGAAGCGGACACTGAACACATTATTGATCCAGCAGCATTGTTCTCTCTGACATAAACAGTGTAAGAGGGCTGGGAGAAAACTGGAGGGTTGTCATTGACATCCAAAATACGAACATTGATTGTTTTTCTGGAGTTGAGAGACGGTGTTCCGGAGTCAGAAGCTTTAATTTCGAAAGTGTACTCTGGATTTGTTTCTCTATCCAAACTGGAGTCCGTAACCAAAGCGTAGTTGTTAGATACAGAATGTTTCAATTTAAATGGTAAGCCTGGCGCAATATTCAAGTAGACCTTGCCATTCTCTCCAGAGTCTATGTCCTTGGCACTTATCAAAGCTACAACTGTTCCAACAGGCGCGTCTTCACGAACAGGGCTAGGCTGAGACTTTAAAATTATTTCTGGGGAATTGTCATTCAAATCCATAATTTCAATATGAATAGTACAGAGGCCTTGCATTGGTGGAATGCCTTTGTCTGTGGCAAGAACATCCATTTTAAACGAATTTCTCTCTTCATAATCTATCTCTCCCTTAACCTTTATTTCGCCAGTTTGGGGATCAACAGATAAAAGGTTCTGTAGCAACTCTGAGGTGTGTGGACCAAATGAGTAAACGATCTCACGATTGACTCCATCATCACGATCGACTGCTTTTACAGTGACAACGATAGTTCCTGGTTGTGTATTTTCAACCACTTGGATATCATATCCACTTTCCTCAAATATGGGTGCATTATCGTTTATGTCTTGTACCCGAATAATAATTTCCGCTGTGCCTGATCTAGCAGGATTTCCACCATCTACAGCTGTTAGAAGCAGGCTGTGTACGGACTGTTTTTCTCTGTCCAATACCTTTTCTAAAATCAATTCGGATACTTTTGACCCATCTTTATTTGTTTTAATATCTAGCACAAAATGTTCATTTTTACTAAGTGTATATGTGCGTAAAGAATTGGAGCCAACGTCGGGGTCCTGTGCTGATTCTAAACGAAATCTTGCGCCTGGTAGTGTGTGCTCCGCAATATTTAAAACATTTATATTGCTTTGAAATACTGGGGAATTGTCATTTATATCCTGTATTTCGATCTCAACACGATACAACTGTAGTGGGTTTTCTATAATAGCCTCTAAAGGCAACAGACAATTGGCATTTCCTCCACACATACTTTCTCTGTCTATCCTCTCATTAACAAAGAGCTCGCCTTTTCCCAAATCCACACTGAAATACTGCTTACCACCCTCGGAAGCTATTCTAAGTTTACGATCGAAAATCTCAGACACCTTCAAACCCAGATCTTTAGCTATATTCCCAACAACAGATCCCACATTGAGCTCCTCAGGGATGGTGTAGCGCGTCTGCGCTTCTATTGTCTTCACCAGGACGAAGGAAAGCAGAAGCCCCCGCCATAGAAATACCTTAATCTTCATTAGAATCCTCATTTCCATGAATGATGATCCCTTGAACTTCGTCAAGGTCTTGGTTTGTAATACATTGGAATATAATCCCACTTTGTAAAATGAATTATTTGCATAGAATTGAACACCCTTTTAAATATCCGGCCTATCTTTCAATATGAGCGCAGCTCTGTCTCTATAGGCTCTGTGCATTGAAGAATGGTAGACTCCCGTAGCCATACTTCAACAAAAATACATCCTGGTTCTCGACGAGGCTAGGGTTATGGTGCGGAGGCTGGGTGAGGTACTAGATCTCTTTGTACAGTTCAGCACATGATTGGTTCACAGAGCTCCAATGGATTATCATTGCAAGAATCTCAGCACTGGCAGTTAAAGAAACAGTGCAGTTATGAGCAGTAGTGATGTAGTGATGTGTCCATTTACTTCTCAAAATTGGGGTCTGTTACAGCACTGGAATGTATTGTTTACCTTCATGTTAAATAAACAAACAAATAAAAAGCATATATAAAAGCTTTGCCAAAGTGTAGAAGAATATCATTTCATGAATTAATATCATGTAAAATAAATAGCCTGTACAGTGCGTTTGGAAAGTATTCAGACCCCTTGACTTTTTCCAAAAAAAATTATGTTACAGTCATATTCTAAAAATGATTTAATTGCTTTTTTTCCCCTCATCAATCTATACACAACACCCCATAATGACAAATCAAAAACCGGTTTTTAGAAATGTTTGCAAATGTATAAAAAAAAAAAAAAACCGGAAATATCACATTTACATAAGTATTCAGACCCTTTACTCTGTACTTTGTTGCAGCACTTTTGGTAGCGATTAAATCCTCGGGTCTTCTTGGGTATGATGCTACAAGCTTGGCACACCTTTATTTGGGGAGTTTCTCCCAATCTTCTCTGCAGATCCTTTCAAGGTCTGTCAGGTTGGTCTGGGAGCGTTGCAGCACAGCTATTTCTAGGTCTCTCCAGAGATGTTCGATCGGGTTCAAGTCCGGGCTCTGGTTGGGCCACTCAAGGACATTCAGAGACTTGTCCCGAAGCCACTCCTGCATTGTCTTGGCTGATCTCTCTGTACTTAGCTCCGTTCATCTTTCCCTCGATCCTAACTAGTCTCCCAGTCCCTGCCGCTGAAAAACATCCCCACAGCATGATGCTGCCACCACCATGCTTCACCGTAGGGATGGTGCCAGGTTTCCTCCAGACGTGAAGCTTGGCATTCAGGCCAAAGAGTTCAATCTTGGTTTCATCAGGCCAAACAATCTTGTTTCTCATGGTCTGAGAGTCCTTTAGGTGCATTTTGGCAAACTCCAAGTGGGCTGTCATGTTCCTTTTACTGAGAAGTGGCATCTATCTGGCCACTCTACCATAAAGGCTTGATTGGTGGAGTGCTGCAGAGATGGTTCTCCTTCTGAAAAGGTTCTCCCATCGCCACAGAGAAACTCTGGAGCCCTGTCCGACTGACCATTGGGTTCTTGGTCACCTCCCTGACCAAGGCCCTTTTCCCCCAATTACTCAGTTTGGCCGGGAAGCCAGCTCTTGGAAGAGTATTGGTGGTTCCAAACTTCTTCAATTTAAGAATGATGGAGGCCACTGTGTTCTTGGGGGCCTTCAATGCTGCAGAAATGTTTTGGTACCCTTCTCCAGATCTGTGCCTCGACACAATCCTGTCTAGGAGCTCTACGGACAATTCCTTCGACCTCATGGCTTGGTTTTTGCTCTGACATGCACTGTCAACTGTGTGACCTTATATAGACAGGTGTGTGCCTTTCCAAATCATGTCCAATCAATTTAATTTGCTACAGGTGAACTGTAGAAACATCTCAACAATGATCAATGGAAACAGGATGCATCTGAGCTCAATTTCGAGTCTCATAGCAATGGGTCTGAATACTTATGTAAATAATGTATTTCTGTTTTTTATTTTTTTTAAATGTGCAAATGTTTCTAAAAACCTGTTTTCACGTTGTCATTATGGGGTATTGTGTGTAGATTGATGAGGATTTTTATTTATTTAATCCATTTTAGAATAAGGCTGTAACGTAACAAAAATGTGTAAAAAGTGAAGGGGTCTGAATACTTTCCGAATGCACTGTATGTACTGCAAGGCATACATTGATTTTCAGACAGATGCAAACGGACTGCCACAACACAATTTTAGACGAAGCACACAGACAAAGCAACAGGATCAAGCGTTCCATGACCCGCTAACTATTCCAGAGCTATTTCAGCACCTCATTTGTGGACAGCGCCTGCAGCCCTGAGCGCTTAGACCAAATTAAACAATATTCTTTAACCTAGAATCGATTTCTGCGGCTCGCAGAAATCTAATTAGCATTATAAAAAAATCCCCATAAATATCTGTCAGTTTAACCCTCTACAGACTAAGCCCTGTCTAAACAGGGGGAATTTGTTTTTACTAAACTATATGGAGTTATTTTCAGAAGGTCATACCAAGTATCATTTAGCTATTTGATTTTGAATTTTAAGACCCCTTGAAGTATATATATATATATATATATATATATATATAAAAATGTGATGAACATTGTAACATGGCCTTACTGCTATTAGCCCAATACAAACACATTGAATTACAGATGTACTACATGGAACAAAAGATAGTCCCCCCAAAAAATCAAAAGGAAGTTTGTTCTGAAGTGTCTGTCTTATATCTGAGAGATATAAGAAAGATCAGGAAACATGTATTTAACCCTTTATTTTTGGCACTAAACAATCTCCATATATACTTCCGTTCAACTGGTACTGGGGGACCTTCAGACAAGACTTGTGAGGCCTTTGGGTGTCCTAGTGCAAAACAACTGACATGTACGTGTTCGTGAGTGTCTCACCTTTCCTCAGATGGGTCAAATTAGTGTGTAGCCCAAACCGTTCGGACTACAGACAGAAGTTGGCAGATCGGCTGTAACGACTTCAGACGAGTCCTAAGATGCTTATGGGGTGAAACGTAAAACGGAGAACACCATCGAGTTCGTGAGAGTCTCATCTTTACATAGAGTGGTCAGAATAGTTTGTAGGCCAAACCGTTCGAACGCTACAGATGATTTCGTGAGAAGACCGATTTTCGGGATGCCTCTTGGTCTGACAAACAGCGCTCTAGCTCTGTCACCTTTCACCGCATATGCGGGAGTGCGACATCGGTGGATGCGGTGGATGGAGATGCATCCAATGCAAAATAAAACAGATACCGTATCTCTAGCTTAAAACGCTGTTATAAAGAGTGAATGCAAAACTCCCAAATTATATAGAATCGAAATGAATAGAAGTGGCAAAACCCAGTGCCAGGAGATACAGTCATAAATGAACAACGATATAATCCGGTGATAATAAAAACAAACATAATTAAATCCTCTCACCTGCTGGCCCTCGAACGTCCACGCGCTGTCCGGTAAAGATGCATCAAGCACGTTTATCATGTCCTTAAAGTCAGTGGTGCTGCTGGGCTTAACGAGGGTGAAATCACTGAACTCTGACACCGGAGAGAGACACGACCTGAAGGACTGGCTTTGAGACAACATGTCCCCTCCCAGGACCTCCACATACTTAATGGGGCCGTCAGTATTGAGTTGGAGCTGCAGGTTTCTGTTGGGATTCTTGTAACCGTCAGAATCAGCCCGTCTGATACAGCAACTCGAGCTGCTCCTACTGTTTCTAACGCACTTCACCACTAAGATGAGAAAAGTCAACAAAGACAACATGGACACTGAGGCCAGAGAGATTATCAAATAAAAGGTGATTTTACTGTTTCTCTTGCTGGGCTCGGCTGTTTTCTGGGTGAAGTCCGAGATGGGTTCGTGGAGCCCGTCCTCTAACAGTATGTTGACTGTGACTGTGGTAGACTGGGCCGGTTCCCCATTGTCCTTTATCTCTATAAGCAGACTCTGAGATGAGTCATCCTGCTCTGAAACAGCGCGTTTAGTCCTCACCTCCCCTGTGTAAAGATTCACACTGAACAGAGTCAAGTCTGTGGCCTCCGCCAGCCTATAGGAAATCCAGGCGTTATGGCCAGAGTCTGCGTCCACTGCCGATATCTTAGTAGCGAGGTGGCCTGCTTTAGCGGACCGGGGCATCTTCTGATGGGACACAGAGCCCATGACAGCAGAAGGGTAAATAACAGTGGGTGCATTGTCGTTCTGGTCCAGGATAAAAACATGAACCGTGGTGTTGCTGCTCAGAGACGGAGAGCCGTGGTCCTTTGCCTGTACCTGGATCTGAAATACCTTCAGTTTCTCATAGTCAAACGAGTGCATGCTGTAGATGCTGCCGTTATCTGAGTTTATGTAAATATAGGAGGAGACAGACACGTCTTGCACTTTAGAGTCTAATATAGAATAGGACATCTTCGCATTCTCACCTATATCTGGATCTGAAGCGGACACTGAACACATTATTGATCCAGCAGCATTGTTCTCTCTGACATAAACAGTGTAAGACGGCTGGGAGAAAATTGGAGGGTTGTCATTAACATCTAAAATATCCACTGTTATGATTTTATTCGAGGTCAGAGCTGGGGACCCTGAGTCCGATGCTTCAAGCTCAATACGGTATTCAGGGAATTTCTCCCGGTCTAAAGTTGAATCTGTTACTAGTGCGTAATGATCTGAAAATGAGGGGTTTAATTTGAAAGGGTAATCTGAAGACATACGAAGGGAAACTTTACCATTTTCTCCCGAGTCCAAATCCTTTGCACTAATTAGTGCTACCATGGTACCTACTGGGGCATCCTCTCTAACGGGTTTGGGTGAGGAGGTGATGGTTATCTCAGGTGGGTTATCATTAACATCTATAACTGTCACCTGAACATCGCTGTGCCCCTCCATAGATGGCGTGCCTTTGTCTCTCGCACGTATATCAAATTTGTATGAAGGACCTATTTCGTAATCTAACTCCTGTGACAATGTTATTTCTCCTGTTTCTTGGTCGATAGCAAAACGTTTTTGGATTTCATCTGGTGTTTGCGACCCGAATGAATAAATTATATCACTGTTGGAGCCCTCATCTAAATCGTCAGCTTTAACAGTCAATACTAACGTTCCAGGATTGGTATTTTCACTAAGTTGGATCTCATACAAGTCTTGCTCAAAACTTGGAGCGTTGTCATTGTTATCCAAAACGATAACTGTAAATTTCGCTATCCCCAATCTAGCAGGAGAACCTCCGTCAAATGCTGTAAGAATGAGATGATGGACAGACTGTTTCTCCCTGTCAATGGCTTTTTCAAGAACAAGTTCAGGAATCTTTGTTCCGTCTCTGCTATTCTTAACATTCAACTTGAAGAAGTCGTTTTTATTCAAGGTGTAAGAGTGCAGCATATTTACTCCAACATCAGGGTCTTGCGCCGTTTCCAACGGAACTCTTGCCCCTGGTAGAGTTGATTCCGCCACATTAACTGTGTTTTCATCTGACTTGAAACGTGGAGAATTGTCATTTATATCCAGTATTTCCACCTCAACTCGATAAAACTGAAGTGGGTCCTCAATGATAACCTGCAGAGGTAACAAACAACTCGCGCTTTGTCCGCACAGACTCTCTCTGTCTATCCGTTCATTTACAATGAGCTCGCCCTTTCCCAAATCCACAGCGAAATATTGCTTACCATCCCCGGGGGCTATCCTCAGTTTGCGAGTAGAGATCTTAGAGATTTCAAAACCCAAGTCCTTAGCTATATTTCCAACAACAGAGCCCACGTCCAGTTCCTCAGGAATGGTGTATCGAGTCTGCGCCTCTATTGTATTCCACAAGAGAAAGAACATCCATAATGCCAGCCATGGAACAATCTTTATCTTGACTAGCGTCCACATCTCCACAAATAGCGTGCAATATATAAAGCACTTGATCCGTCACACATCGCAAGAGAATGCAATGCAATTTCCAAATACACAGTAATTTCATGTACAAAATGTTGCAAAAATATTCCTTTCACTGTATCGATGAGTGTAGCTCCGTCTCTCCCATCTCTGTGCATTGTATGGGCTACTGTGCTATGGCTGGGGGAGGGAGTAGATCTCTTTGTACAATGCTGCATGCTATTGGCGCTCAGCGCTCCAATAGATTAAGACTATGAGCAGTGCTGCCTTTAAGCAGCAGTACAGACCCAGGCTACGGTAGAGGAAAACAACCGTGTAGGCCTACTACGCTCTACAATCAGAAACAAAAACAGTTTTTCGTAAGACTAATTATAAAATGATGAAAATCAAAATACACCGGACATTGAAATGGAAGTAGAATGAAATAATATAATTTCTGTTAGACATATAGCTACTGTTTCATGAACAAAACATTTAAACGGAACAATGGGTCCTCTATCTTTTGTGACATATCCTGTTGATGCAATAATGCAGTTTTTTCCCCCTATCAAAGTCGTAAAAAAGAGAAGCAATTCATATTTAACTAAAAATGTAAGAGCAAGTAAGGGAACAGAACAACAAAGCACGGTACAAAACAACCAAGATGTTCTACTAGTTGAGGTTTTAAAAAAGTACAATGTTGCTATAGTGAAGAACTGAATCACTCAGAGCTCTCCCCTATTCAAGCATCGCAGACAGCAAACAAAACAACCACATTCAACGAGTCAGAACAGTAGCGTAGATTTCAGAACATTGGACAGCGCCAAACCAAAAAGTTCAGTCGGGCTATGCAGTGTATAGCCTCAAAAACGCAAGATGTTTATCAAAAGAACCACAAAAACACATGAAGCTATTATCAACATGCATAGTTATGGAAACATATACATTTAAAGTATGCAAGATTTGTTCTAATGTAGTCACTGGAATACTAATAATAGATTAGAAAACTGAAGTGGCACCCATCTGGCCACTCTACCATAAAGGCCTGATTGGTGGAGTGCTGCAGAGATGGTTCTCCTTCTGAAAAGGTTCTCCCATCGCCACAGAGGATCTCTGGAGCCCTGTCAGACTGACCATCGGGTTCTTGGTCACCTCCCTGACCAAGGCCCTTTCCCCCTAATTACTCAGTTTGGCCGGGAAGCCAGCTCTAGAAAGAGTATTGGTGGATCAAAACTTATTCTATTTAATAATGATGGAGGCCACTGTGTTCTTGGGAGCCTTCAATGCTGCAGAAATGTTTTGGTACCCTTCTCCAGAGCTGTGCCTCGACACAATCCTGTCTCGGAGCTCTACGGACAATTCCTTCGACCTCAGGGCTTGGTTTTTGCTCTGACATGCACTGTCAACTGTGGGACCTTATATAGACAGGTGTGTGCCTTTCCAAATCATGTCCAATTAATTTAATTTACTACAGGGGGACTCCAATTAAGTTGTAGAAACATCTCAACGATGATCAATGGAAACAGCATGCATCTGAGCTCAATTTCGAGTCTCATAGCAAGGGGTCTGAATACTTATGTAAATAATGTATTTCTGTTTTTTATTTTTAATAAATGTGCAAACGTTTCTAAAAACCTGTTTTCACTTTGTCATTATGGGGTATTGTGTGTTGATTGAACAGGATTTTTATTTATTTAATCCATTTTAGAATATGGCTGTAACGTAACAAAATGTGTAAAAAGTTAAGGGGTCTGAATACTTTCCGAATGCACTGTATCAAGGCATGCATTGTTTTTCAGACAGATGCAAACGGACTACCACAACACAATTTTAAACGAAGAACACGAACAAAACAACAGGAGCAAGTGTTCCATGACCTGCTAACTATTCCAGAGCTATTCCAGCACCTCGTTTGTGGACAGCGCCTGCAGCCCTGAGTGCTTAGACCAAGTTAAACAATATTCTTTAACCTAGAGTTGATTTCTGCGGCCCAAAATCTAATTAGTATAATAAAAAAAATCCCCATAAATACAGTGGGGAAAAAAAGTATTTAGTCAGCCACCAATTGTACATGTTCTCCCACTTAAAAAGGTGAGAGAGGCCTGTAATTTTTATCATAGGTACACGTCAACTATGACAGACAAAATGAGATTTTTTTTCTCCAGAAAATCACATTGTAGGATTTTTAATGAATTTATTTGCAAATTATGGTGGAAAATAAGTATTTGGTCACCTACAAACAAGCAAGATGTCTGGCTCTCACAGACCTGTAACTTCTTCTTGAAGAGGCTCCTCTGTCCTCCACTCGTTACCTGTATTAATGGCACCTGTTTGAACTTGTTATCAGTATAAAAGACACCTGTCCACAACCTCAAACAGTCACACTCCAAACTTCACTATGGCCAAGACCAAAGAGCTGTCAAAGGACACCAGAAACAAAATTGTAGACCTGCACCAGGCTGGGAAGACTGAATCTGCAATAGGTAAGCAGCTTGGTTTGAAGAAATCAACTGTGGCAGCAATTATTAGGAAATGGAAGACATACAAGACCACTGATAATCTTCCTCGATCTGGGGCTCCACGCAAGATCTCACCCCGTGGGGTCAAAATGATCACAAGAACGGTGAGCAAAAATCCCAGAACCACACGGGGGGACCTAGTGAATGACCTGCAGAGAGCTGGGACCAAAGTAACAAAGCCTACCATCAGTAACACACTATGCCGCCAGGGACTCAAATCCTGCAGTGCCAGACGTGTCCCCCTGCTTAAGCCAGTACATGTCCAGCCCCGTCTGAAGTTTGCTAGAGTGCATTTGGATGATCCAGAAGAGGATTGGGAGAATGTCATATGGTCAGATGAAACCAAAATATAACTTTTTGGTAAAAACTCAACTCGTCGTGTTTGGAGGACAAAGAATGCTGAGTTGCATCCAAAGAACACCATACCTACTGTGAAGCATGGGGGTGGAAACATCATGCTTTGGGGCTGTTTTTCTGCAAAGGGACCAGGACGACTGATCCGTGTAAAGGAATGAGGTTTTCACTCAAAATCGTGAGATTTTGAGTGAAAACCTCATTCCATCAGCAAGGGCATTGAAGATGAAACGTAGCTGGGTCTTTCAGCATGACAATGATCCCAAACACACCGCCCGGGCAACGAAGGAGTGGCTTCGTAAGAAGCATTTCAAGGTCCTGGAGTGGCCTAGCCAGTCTCCAGATCTCAACCCCATAGAAAATCTTTGGAGGGAGTTGAAAGTCTGTGTTGCCCAGCGACATCACTGCTCTAGAGGAGATCTGCATGGAGGAATGGCCCAAAATACCAGCAACAGTGTGTGAAAACCTTGTGAAGACTTACATAAAACGTTTGACCTGTGTCATTGCCAACAAAGGGTATATAAGAAAGTATTGAGAAACTTTTGTTATTGACCAAATACTTATTTTCCACCATAATTTGCAAATAAATTCATTAAAAATCCTACAATGTGATTTTCTGGATTTTTTTTTCTCATTTTGTCTGTCATAGTTGACGTGTACATGATGAAAATTACAGGCCTCTCTCATCTTTTTAAGTGGGAGAACTTGCACAATTGGTGGCTGACTAAATACTTTTTTTCCCCACTGTATCTGTCAGTTTAACCCTCTACAAGCCCTGTCTAAACCGCGGCAGGGGGGTTTTACTAAACTATATGGAATTGTTTTCAGAAGGTCATACCAAGTATCATTTAGCTATTTGATTTGGAATTTTAAGACCCCTTGAAGTATATCTAAAATATATATATATGTGTATTTGATGAACATTGTAATATGTATGGCCTTACTGCTATTAGCCCAATACAAACACATTGAATTACAGAATCACTACATGGAACAACAGATAGTCCCCCCAAAAAATTCAAAAGGAAGTTTGTTCTGAAGTGTCTGTCCTATATCTGAGAGATATAAGAAAGATCAGGAAACATGTATTTAACCCCTTATTTTTGGCACTAAACAATCTCGATATGTACTTCTGTTCAAATGGTACTGGGGGACCTTCAGAAGAGTCTTGTGAGGCCTAACCCTAACCCTAGAGCAAAACAACTGACATGTAGGTGTTCGTCTCATCTTTACATACATGGGTCAGAATAGTTTGTAGGCCAAACCTTTCGAACGCTACAGCTGATTCTGTGAAAATACTGATTTTCGGGATGCCTCATGGTCTGACTAACAGCGCTCTAGCTCCGCATATGCACAACGGTGGATGCATTTTAGCAGACACTCTTATCCAGAGCGACTTACAGTTAGTGCTTCGTTTTATACTGGTCCCCCATGGGAATCGAACCCACATCCCTGCCGCCTATTCCCTCCACTGGACCAATTGTGCGCTGCCCCATGGGTCTCCCGGTCGCGGCCGGCTACGACAGAGCCTGGATTCGAACCAGGATCTCTAGAGGCAGAGCTAGCACTGCGATGCAGTGCCTTAGACCACTGCGCCACTCGGGAGGCTAGATTGAGACGCATCCAATGCAAAATAAAACAGTTACAGTATCTCTAGCTTAAAACGCTGTTATAAAGAGTGAATGCAAAACACCCAAATTATATAGAATCGAAATGAATAAAAGTGGTAAAACCCAGCGCCAGGAGACAGTCATAAATGAACAACGATATAATCCGGTAATAATAAAAACAAACCTAATTAAATCCTCTCACCTGCTGGCTCTCGAAGGTCCACGCGCTGTCCGGTAAAGATGCGTCAAGCACGTTTATCATGTCCTTAAAGTCAGTGGTGCTGCTGGGCTTAACGAGGGTGAAATCACTGAACTCTGACACCGGAGAGAGACACGACCTGAAGGACTGGCTTTGAGACAACATGTCCCCTCCCAGGACCTCCACATACTTAATGGGGCCGTCAGTATTGAGTTGGAGCTGCAGGTTTCTGTTGGGATTCTTGTAACCGTCAGAATCAGCCCGTCTGATACAGCAACTCGAGCTGCTCCTACTGTTTCTAACGCACTTCACCACTAAGATGAGAAAAGTCAACATAGACAACACGGACACTGAGGCCAGAGAGATTATCAAATAAAAGGTGATTTTACTGTTTCTCTTGATGGGCTCTGCTGTTTTCTGGCGGAAGTCCAAGATGGGCTCGTGGAGCCCGTCCTCTAACAATATGTTGACTGTGACTGTGGAGGATTGGGCCGGTTTCCCATTGTCCTTTATCTCTATAAGCAGCCTCTGAGAGGAGTCATCCTGCTCTGAAACAGCGCGTTTAGTTCTCACCTCCCCTGTGTAAAGATTCACACTGAACAGAGACGAGTGTGTGTCCTCCACCAGCCTATAGGAAATCCAGGCGTTATGGCCTGAGTCTGCGTCCACTGCCGATATCTTAGTGGTGAGGTGGCCTGCTTTAGCGGACCGGGGAATCTTCTGATGCGAGCCCATGACATCGGAGGGGTAAATAACAGCGGGTGCATTGTCGTTCTGGTCCAAGATAAAAACATGAACCGTGGTGTTGCTGCTCAGAGACGGAGAGCCGTGGTCCTTTGCCTGGACCTGGATCTGAAACACCTTCAGTTTCTCATAGTCAAACGAGTGCATGCTGTAGATGCTGCCGTTATCTGAGTTTATGTAAATATAGGAGGAGACAGACACGTCTTGAACTTTAGAGTCTAATATAGAAAAGGAGATCTTCGCATTCTCACCCATGTCTGTATCAGAGGCGGACACTGTGCTCAGTAAAGATCCCGGGATGCCGTTTTCTTTAACGTACACAGTATAGGAGGTCTGGGAAAACACTGGCGAGTTGTCATTGACATCTAAAATACGAACCGTGATTGTTTTTCTGGAGGTAAGAGACGGTTTCCCGAGGTCAGAAGCTGTAATTTCGACAGTGTACTCTGTTTTTTTCTCCCGATCCAAACTGGAATCACTAACCAAAGCGTAGTTATTAGAAATTGATGGATTTAATGAAAAAGGTAAGCCTGGCGCTATATTCAGATTGACTTTACCATTATCTCCAGAGTCTATGTCCTTAGCGCTTATCAAAGCAACAACTGTTCCAATAGGCGCGTCTTCACTCACCGGGCTAGGCTGAGACTTTAAAATGATAGCTGGGGAATTGTCGTTTAAATCCATAACTTCTACATTAATACTACATACGCCCTGCATTGGTGGGGTGCCTTTGTCTGTTGCGAGAACATCAAATTTAAACGAATTTCCCTTTTCATAATCTATATCTCCTTTAACCTTTATTTCACCGGTTTGCGGATCTATAGTTAAAAGGTCCTGTAGTGACTCTGATGTGTGTGGTCCAAGTGAGTAAACGATCTCACTGTTGGACCCTTGATCAAGATCGACTGCTTTAACAGTGACAACGACCGTTCCTGGTGATGTGTTTTCAACCACTTGAATGTCATATGTACTTTCTTCAAACACGGGTGCATTGTCGTTATTGTCTAGAACTCGAATAGTAATTTCTGCTGTACCTGATCTAGCAGGATTTCCACCATCTACGGCCGTCAGAAGCAGGCTCTGTATGGATTGCCTTTCTCTGTCCAATACTTTTTCTAAAACTAATTCTGGGACTTTTGACCCATCCTTCTTTGTTTTTATGTCTAACACAAAATGTTCATTTTTACTTAGTGTATATGAGCGTAAGGTATTGGAGCCAACGTCGGGGTCTTGTGCTGATTCCAAACGAAATCTTACACCTGGAATTCTAGACTCCGCAATATTTAGAACATTTTGATTGTTTTGGAATACTGGGGAATTGTCATTTATATCCTGTACTTCGATTTCAACACGAAACAGCTGTAGTGGGTTTTCAATTAAAGCCTCCAAAGGTAACAAACAATTGGGACTTCGTCCACACAGATTCTCTCTGTCTATTCTCTCACTAACAATAAGGTCACCTCTTCCCAAATCCACACTGAAATACTGCTTACCGCCCTCGGAGGCTATCCTCAGTTTACGATCGGAAATCTCAGACACTTGCAAACCCAGATCCTTAGCTATATTCCCAACAACGGATCCCACATTCAGCTCCTCGGGGATGGTGTAGCGCGTCTGCGCTTCTATTGTCTTCCCAAGAAGGGAGGAAAGCAGAAGCCCCCGCCATAGAAATACCATTATCTTCATTAGAATCCTCATTTCCATGAATGATGATCCCTTGGAATTCGTAAAGGTATTGGTTTGTAATACATTGCAAGATAATCCCACTAAGCAAAACCTATTATTCGGATAGAATTGAACACAGTTTTAAATGTCCGTCCTATCTCTCAAAATGAGCGCAGCTCTGTCTCTCTCAGCTCTGTGCATTGTAAGGGTTATGGTAGTCTTGCGTAGTCATACCTCCAAAAAAAGCCTGGCTCTCGACGAGGCTAGGTTTATGGTGCTGAGGCTGGGGGAGGTACTAGATCTCTTTGTACAGTTCAGCACATGATTGGTTCACAAAGCTCCAATCGATTATCATTGAGAGCAGCTCAGCACTGGCAGTAAAAATAAAAACTGCGCAGCTATGAGCAGAAGTGATGTAGCGATGTGTCCATTTACTCCTCAAAATGGGGGTCTGTTACAGCATTGGCATTCATAGTTTACCTTCATGTAAATAAATAAACATGAATATATAACGGTTTTGCCAAAGTGTCGAAGAACGCCATTTCATGAATTCATGCATTTTTTTTCTCTCGGTAAGGTGCAAAAGGACTGCCACAACTAAATGTTAGACTAATAACAAAACAACAGGACCAAGTGTTCCATGACGCTCTAGCTATTCCAGAGCTACAGTATTTCAGCACCTCGTTTGTGGAGAGCGCCTGTAGCCCCTAGCGCTTAGACCAAGTGAAACGATACTCTTTAAAACGCTGAGATGAGGAGTGAATGCAAAACACCCAAACAATATAGAATCGAATGAATAGAAGTGGTAAAACCCAGTGCCAGGACATACAGTCATTAATGGACAACGATATAATCCAGTGACAATAAAAACACACATTATAAAGTAGCTGCTCTCACCTGCTGGCTCTCAAACGTCCACCCACTGTCCAGTAAAGATGCATCAAGCACATTTATCATGTCCTTAAAGTCAATGGTGCTGCTGGGCTTAACGAGGGTGAAATCACTGAACTCTGACACCGGAGAGAGACACGACCTGAAGGACTGGCTCTGAGACAACATGTCCCCTCCCAGGACCTCCACATACTTAATAGGGCCGTCAGTATTGAGTTGGAGCTGCAGGTTTCTGTTGGGATTCTTGTATCCGTCAGAGTCAGCCCGTCTGATACAGCAACTGGAGCTGCTCCTACTGTTTCTAACGCACTTCACCACTAAAATGAGAAAAGTCAACAAAGACAACATGGACACTGAGGCCAGGGAGATGATCAAATAAAAGGTGATTTTACTGTTTCTCTTGATGGGCTACGTTGTTTTCTGGCGGAGGCCCGAGATGGGTTCGTGGAGCCCGTCCTCTAACAGTATGTTGACTGTGACTGTGGTGGACTGGGCCGGTTCCCCATTGTCCTTTATCTCTATAAGCAGCCTCTGAGATGAGTCATCCTGCTCTGAAACAGCGCGTTCACCTCCCCTGTGTAAAGATTCACACTGAACAGAGACGAGTCTGTGGCCTCCGCCAGCCTATAGGAAATCCAGGCGTTATGGCCCGAGTCTGCATCCACTGCTGATATCTTAGTAGCGAGGTGGCCTGCTTTAGCGGACCGGGGCATCTTCTGATGGGAGACAGAACCCATGACAGCGGAGGGGTAAATAACAGCGGGAGCATTGTCATTCTGGTCCAGGGTAAAAATATGAACCGTGGCGTTGCTGTTCAGAAACTGAGAGCCGTGGTCCTTTGCCAGCACCTGGATCTGAAACACCTTCAGTTTCTCATAGTCAAACGAGTGCATGCTGTAGATCAGGGTTCTTCAATTCCGATCCTGGAGGGCCGAAACACCTCTGTTTTTCATCCTCTCCTTCTAATCAGGGGCTAATTCAGACCTGGGACACCAGGTGAGTGCAGTTAACTACCAGGTAGAAATAAAAAACTGAAGTGTTTCGGCCCTCCAGGACCGGAATTGAAGAACCCTGCTGTAGATGCTGCCGTTATCTGAGTTTATGTAAATATAGGAGGAGACAGACATGTCTTGTACTTTAGAGTCTAATATATAATAGGAGATCTTCGCATTCTCACACATGTCTGTATCAGAGGCGGACACTGTGTTCAGTAAAGATCCCAGGGTGCCATTTTCTTTTAAATAAACAGTATATGATGTCTGGGAAAACACTGGAGGGTTGTCATTGACATCTAGGATTTTCACGGTTACGGTTATCATTGTAGATAAAGGTGGGGACGCTGAATCAACTGCATTTATGACAACATCATACTTCGAGGACGCCTCTCGGTCTAATGGGCCATTGGTCACCAGTGCGTAATGGTTGGAAACGGAGGGCTTCAGAGTGAACGGGGAACCTGGGGACATGTTTAACTTTACTTTGCCATTCTCACAAACGTCTAAGTCTTTAGCGCTAATCAATGCAATAACCATCCCGGGGGCTGAATTCTCCGGTATTGGACTGGTCATTGAGGTTATAATAATTTGAGGGGCATTATCATTAACATCCGCAATCCTGATCTTTACAGTACAGTGCCCCTCCATCTGTGGACTGCCTTTATCTTTTGCCACAATATCAAACGTATGCAAATTCATCTGTTCATAATCAAGCTGTCCTATGACAGTAATATCGCCTGTATTTTAGTCAACATCAAGTAATTTCATTATTCTATCTGGGGTCTGGTCTGCAAAGAAATACTCAATTTCTCCATTTAGTCCTTTGTCAGAATCTGTAGCTTTTACATTTACAATCTGATTGCCAAAGGGTCTATTCTCAGCTACATATATTTAATTAAAGGTATCTCAAACTGGGGCTCATTATCATTAACATCAAGAACTATGACGGTTATTTCAGAGGTGCCAGATCGAGCAGGATTCCCTCCATCTACAGCAGTGAGCACGAGCTTGTGAACGGCCTGCTTCTCTGTGTCCAGTGAAGTCTTCAGCACAAGGTCGGGATTTTCTTTGCCTCCCTGGGTCTTCATATTCAACAGGAAATGGTCATTATCACTGATACTATAGGACCGTAATGAGTTTGCGGCTACTTCAGGATCATATGCACTGTCCAATGGGAATTTGGCACCTGGATTAATCAGCTCAGCTATTTTCAAAATGTGTTTATTTGTAAGAAAACCTGGAGAATTATCATTTATATCCTGTATTTCAATTTCAATGCGGTGCAGCTGTAAGGGATTTTCAACTATAACCTCCAGTGGTAACAGACAAGGGACATTCTCTCCACATAAATGTTCTCTGTCTATCCTTTCATTGACAACCAGTTCACCCTTTCCTAAATCTAAACTGAAATACTGCTTACCAGCATCAGAAGCTATCCTGAGTTTACGGTCATAAATCTCAGATATTCCCAAACCCAGGTCCTTGGCTATATTTCCAACAACAGAGCCTTCCTTTAACTCCTCAGGTATAGTGTATACCTGCGCCTCTATTGTATTCCACAAGAGAACAAATTGATAAATCCACAACACTTGCCACCTCAAATGGCCTCGAATCCTCATTGTCCTTTGTTCCATCGAACCTCCTTTTACATTTTTTACATTTTAGTCATTTAGCAGACGCTCTTATCCAGAGCGACTTACATGAGCAATTAGGGTTAAGTGCCTTGCTTAAGGGCACATCGACAGATTTTTCACCTAGTCGGCTCGAGGATTAGAACCAGCAACCTTTCGGTTACTGGCACAATGCCCTTACCCACTACGCTACCTGCCGCCACTGTTCACAGTAAAGCCTCACCATCACACAATATGAAAATTAGAGTTATTCGCCATAGTGTCTTGAATACAAATTTCCCAAAAATGCAAACAGACCTTACTTTGTTTCCATTCAGTGCAAGCGTAGCTCCCATATCTGAGCATTGTTGGCTGTGGGATGTGATGCTGAGGCTGAGGGGAGGGAGTACATCCCTTTGTATGGCTCAGCACAGTATTGGTGCAGAGAACCCTCTTGATATAACCAGTCACACACATAGTGTATCTTACAGGTACAGTCTATGCCTTCACTATGAGTAGAATGCTTAAAATACAGAAACAGATAAGCAGTATTCATTTACAGGTATACAATGTTACATTGATTTTAAAGTATTAAAGGTGCTACTGTACTTAATAGATGTGGTAATTCACTAAATAAAATAATAAATACCCCCCCACCAAAAAAAATTGCTAATATTAGCCTATAACCTATTATTATTATTATTATTATTATTATTATTATTATTATTATTATTATTATTTGTATCCAATAATCATAACAGCACTGTATCATTTCAAGCCCTCCGTTTACTGTACTCTTTCTGCCGCCTTGTGGCAATGAGAGGGAAGCACAGCCTAGTGGTGTTCTCATAGCCTGTCATAAGGAGCAGAGAGCCCGTCTCTCTCATCCCCTCCCCCACACACTCGTCTAATCACAGTAGCATGCTCAGCACGAGCAGAAGGGGGGTAACGGGCTGGGAGTGAAAGTATCATGAGAGGCGGGAGCAAAAAGGGATAGAGGTTTGACGCACACATACAAGCTCACAGGCACGCACACACGCACGCACACACGATTTAGTGGCGTGTATTTACAGAGTAGCCTACATATTTCATTATGCTACTAATTTGCTATGGAGATGATAGAGGAAGCCTTTAGGCTTGTATGTCTGACCACCAAAATAGCAATTCGTCCACACTTTTATCGACAGTAGGCTACAACCTTGGGGCATAGATTATCTAAATCTCCCTAGCAACTGAGGGTGCTCTAATAGGTCGTTATCAATAAAACGTCACACAATAAGGTGCAGCACGTTCGATTTGCCTGCTGGGGGGCAAGAAGATCCCCAGCTCCGCTAAAACCATTGCCACCTGTGTGCCGTTTTCAAGGGATTGTTAAATAAATGTTAACTATTTGGTTGTAATATAATCAGCTCTTAAAGAGCAGTCAAACTATAATTTTCCGATTATTCCATGCAAAACAATTGCGCACATTTAGCTCTATCATCAGAGTTATACAGAAAGTAACTGCATGCTTTTCATGATCAGTAAAAATAAATTGATCATGTAATTTCAGTTACGTGAGGTTAGCCTCACAATATCTCTCAATATTGGCCACCATTAATTGGATATTTTAGTGATATAAAATAAAAGTAAACTATACCTGACAAGTATGAGTGGTTTAGGTTAATTTCCAATCCTTTGACGGCTCTGCCTGTCAAGCAGCAGAAGGGCGCATTTACCTATATACTGTTAGCTGATCATGTTTATTTTGCAAGCTACGGATAGAAACTGTGCACAGTTGCCTAAACATAGTGATAAGTAGACCTAATGTAGTTTTTTCTCAAACCAACGTAGGCCTGACTAGCGAAGTTAGCTAACATTATCTTATTTTCAACATTGTTTTTAAGAGTGTTTAATCACGATTGCTGCTGACAGACATGATAGGCTAAATTGAATGAAGGACAAATTGGCTAGCTAGCAAAAAAAAAAAAAAAAAAAAATGTATGCACTCACTAACTGTCAGTCGTTCTGGATAAGAGCGTCTGCTAAATGACTAAAATGTAAAATGTAAAAATAAACTAGATGGCTATATTTGCTTGCCATCTATAGTGGTGATGACAGTAGTCCAACTGACAACTTTACTAGGACGAGGACTTTTCAAGGTCTTTCCAAGTGTCTGAAAATACCTAATCGATTGATTTTGACTGATCATGAAAAGCATTCAGTTACTTGCTGTATAACTTCGATGATAGAGAATAATTGGAAATGTGTAGTTCTGACTATGCTCTTCAAGAGGTGATGATATTAAAACCAAATAGTTATAACATTTATTTAACAATCCCTTGCAAACGGCATGTAGTTGTCAATGGTTTTAGTGGAGATGGAGGTCTCCGTGCCCCCCACCAGCCAAATTGAACGCTCTGCACCATAATGTGACATTTTATTGATAACGACCTATTACAGCGTTAGATAAAAAGAAAGGTTTAATCATGAATTACGCTTATAATGGTATCACATTGTTATATAATGTGGGCCAGGTCGACAAAATATTAATACAGTCGCATTTCATCACGATGATCAGTGGCACAGTATGACCCACATTGTGCAGCAAAAGATTATCCAATCCCTGAAAGCAGAGGAGACCACGCGCCCTGCACAGACAGAGGAGTATTTCAGCACCACGCGGGTGGACAGCGCCACACAGGCGGACAGCTCACTCTGGTGAATGCGGCAGACAATAGGCAGCACGAGAGCGGCATAAACAATGCGTGCCTGTTTCCCTTCACTAGAAAGGAAAACAGGAGCTAGCTGAACATACATATCCTCAGATAAACACCAGATTCAACAGGTAGAATGCTAATTGAAATGCTCCCAAACTGCTTTGTTCGAGGAACTGTGTATAAAGGTATGCATTTCATTCTGCTATGTGACCAGGCACTCCTTTATCATTCATGAGTTGGGCCTCAATAGCTGAATAAGGCAACAAGATGTAAAACCCTTTTCCAAGGTACATGAAAATAATGATTGCAATAATTCTAAATGTGTGCACTTCACCCAAAGGAAGAGATGTGATTGGTACAAGTAGGCCTACCAACATATTCATTATAGATATATTTTGATTTATCTCAAACACAGCTCATGGGAATGTTATTTTCCCCTTTGTTAGCACTGAGATATTTAAATGGCAAGCATTGGAATCATAAATAATACAGTGTCTAAAATCTGTATAACTGGCTGTGACATATGATGCACAACGCTGATCTGCCACTTTACCTCTCCTACTTGTGTGTTGAACATGATCCTCTTAAAGGTTACATTGGTCTAAGTGCATACACAAGTGTTTGTGTGTGTATGTGTGAGTGTGTGTGTGTGTGTGCATGTGTGTGTGTATAAGTGCTTGTGTGTGTGAGAGAGAGGAAGAGATAGATTTGATGCGGTTTGAGATAGATTGACAGATAGATTATAGATTGGTAGGATAAATTGGTAGGTAGAAAGGGAGATACGTTGATCTTACCTTGTTTGGAGAAACACAGAGGGAGCAGATGCAGTGACAACATGGAAAAGAGAGAAAAGAAAGACATATTCATTAGATTAGGACAATGACTGTACTCAGAGACATACTTACCAAAACAGAAGAAGTGTTCAGATATAAACCCATCTGACACATACTCAACACAGTCACTTAGCATGACCACTGTGTTGTATATCATTCTGTGCATGTGTAGTGTGGGTTCAATGTGTGCACCAACCATAGTATTACACCAGTGTTTTCTTAATGTTCTCCTTATGCTTCATGAGTAGGGCCCTGAGGTTTTCCTGGTCAGGTCCCTACGTCAGGGAAAACTATGTGCCCTATAATCATGAGGTTGGTGCCTGACCACCAGGGGAACACAAGCATGTTTACCATCACCAAAAAAACATGTTCGCTATTACCAAACACAAAACATAGGCGCTATGTCACCAAATCCTTTGCATGTTTTTCTTATTGTTTTACTGTTGCTGGTCTTTACAATAGTTAAGACATGGTTAGATCTGCAAGAGTGTTAATATTACTATATTTCACTTGTAAACAAATAAGAGCATGACTTTTATCATTGTTTTTATCTTAAT